TATGGTGTTACTCGGTTGTATAAAGTATAGTGCATCGAAAATAACCATAGTTGTGCTATATGATTGCCATCTCTCTCTCGCGCCCACACCCGGCCTTGCTTCGTCTCACCTCGCCGCCTTTGTTGACATCTAGATGGCGATGATGACAAGCCTCAAAGCTAATGTTACATCCCTGTAGAGGAAACAAAACCATCAATCGAGCAACTTTTTGATTTAAGGTCGATTGTATGTTCTAATCTCGTGATATTTCAAAGCTAATCATAATCATAAATTGCACAGCTCTAGCGGTTCCACACCCAAAAAAAACAAAGAAGAAATAGATGCAATCGGTGGTCATCATTAACCAATTAGCATATAAAAAGATCTAATCCCCCCAAGGACCTAAAACTTTTACACGGTGCTTGTCGGCACTCCATCTCCATCCGCTGAAGTGAAAGAATGCTAAACGGCAGTACATAATAATGCTGATGCGCCCACAAATCCTCGTCTCGTAAGGGACCAAAAAAGGAGCTCCAAATGGAATATGGGGAATTAAGTGGCACTCCGGTCGGTGGGACTCCGGTCGGTGTTATATTTTGAGACGTTCTTAGATGTACCGGATGTATTCGAGCCAAATACGTCCTAACTCTTTTATCACGTAAATTCCATGTGAGAATCACTAACATTGATGGTTCAGAATGTATTGGGCTCATCTAAAAAAATTTCTGACAAGTGTGCATGTAGTCACCGACGGGCTTTTGCTTTTAAAACCATCAAGAGGTGGCTTGTGATCTAAAGGGTCACTTCAAGTCGGTCTGGTTGGACTGATTGCATCAATCAATTAGGGTATGATGATTAGGATTGTGGAGGGCTGATGGACCATTGAGGTCTCTACCTTGAATAGGAATGATGTGCATCACGCTTCTCCTGCTTCGGTTATTTCTGCGCTGTGGGAAACTCTTCAATCATATCTTCGAGTGGACGAGATTATGTTAAAAGTGTCAGGGAATTTTCGGTTGATAAACCGGAGGTCACCTATTCAATTCTCACAAATTGTATGTGAAGTGTTCTGGATCAAAGGTCTAGACTAAACTAAATTATGGGACTTACAGGATACTCCACAAGTTTCACGGTAGCTGAACATCTACTCTCGTGCCCAAAGAATATAAAACAATAGCTGGACCTTCATTATTCTTTTACCTGGACGTTGCTTTTCCTTCCACCCTTTAAAAGCGAGCTCTGTGTTACATTATAGAAATAGGGAAAAGAAATTGATTGGTCTCGTGCCCATGTATTTTTAGTAGGTTCTTCCATTCGAAAATTGACATGCAACTTGGTACATAGATTAGGTGGTTGGAGAAAAAAATTGTGAGGGCCTAAATTAATAAGTGATGCAGCGAACAGAGTTGATGATAGTACAAAATCTACGTAAGAACATGGATTTCGAGGAAGTATTCAATGTGGATCCAACGATCCCTTAGCTTGTGATTAGCGGGTCTATCGGACTAAGTCTACACAATGACTTCTCATGATTAGATGGTCATATGTGGATGGCTATGTATCATTGGCGTGGTTGTCCTAAAAACCACTCATGTAATATTGGCCATCAAAGTAATAGAGAAGCAACATACCTCGATGAACATCCCCATTTTTGTTGACAAACTCATGATCCAAACTATCTCATTGGGTCGAACAACGTTGCTAGCTCCTGTTAAACTAGACATTGGATTGAAGCGCTTAACGTATTGATTTCGGTCTAAGAAAAGGGTTTTTTCTGCTGTAGAATTATAGCATTAACTCTAATTTTCGAAGACATGGTTATCATTGGTTTTTTCTCGGATCAGCCACATGTAAATTTATTCTAGACGATAAAATCCTAACAAATGACATACAAGTGTCCTCACGACAAAGACCCGATATTTTGATCCTCTTTCTTTGCCCTCTCATCTTTCCCTGCCTCTCTCAACGCCGGATCCGTCGCGTCTGCTACCGCTACGAAGATAGTTGAATTGATGCAACATGAACTTGATACTTTCATCCGAGGTGATCGCTGAGATGGAGTTTAAGTCTAAGGTCATCAACATATTGGCTTGATCCCGCTTACATTCAAAAGCTTAAGTGAATGAGCTTCTAATAAATATATATCTTAATCGCTTCACATTACAACATATATCTGATGTTGGATTTCTTTTACCTAATACTTCTATAAGTGCACCATAACAAATTTCCCTTCGTTTGTGATTCACCAGCGTTAAGTCCATTCCCTCTTAATTTATGTATACTTCCGCACCAACTTTATTTCAACTTGAGAACTTGCACCTTGGCCAGGTCAAGTTTAATAGAACATTGGTGAGGATAATATGTACCTTTCAAACTCCACCTCAATCGGCTTGACTCATCCAAGCTTGGTAGAAGGCTGAGAGATACCATTTGCCACCTCAATTAGGTAGTCACATCCAAGATTTTCCTTTTTTGAGATATTCACGAGATACCAATATATATTAGGAATGGGTCACCAATCAATCATCGACTCTAATATTATTTGTCGGCTGAATACAACGGAAGCTCAATATTTTAACTCGAAAATATCATCAAGACTAAGGTAAATTCAGAGTCCATTAATATATTCAGTTGATCTCATCTCTATTTAAAAGTTCAAACAAATGAGTTATAATCCTATAAATATATATTAATCCCTTCACATTATATTAAATTCTCGATGTGATACATTATTTTCCCTTATACCTCGCGAAGCTATGGGTGCTATATGGAATGGCCATATTCCAAATTAGGAAGGTAATTAATTCTCCCTGACCACGTGTGCATTCACATGCACGGGCTCAGTTCGCATCGCGATACCGCTGTGTTATGGGAAAAACCAAAGGGGCAGTAAAATCTGCAGGCTTTGCTTCTTCTGATGAGAATCCCAAGTCAGTGGTTAATTCAGTTTTCAGGTGAAGGTTGGGACGAGGTGGGTGGCAATAACTATGGGGGGGGGGTGACTTGACGTTTGACTGAAGTGAATCCAGACAAAGACCATTCTCTCTCTCTCTCTCTCTCTCTCTCTCTATCTGTCTTTCTGGGACTGGACACGTGCCGGTGACAAGATAAGGGGGGCAAAAGCTTTTTGTGCACTCAGGAGGGAGACAGCGATACCACCACCATAAGATTTTACCTCAGGAACAAAGCAAAACGAGGCGATGAGCAACGCAGAGGGAGATAGATCTTATGCAGAGTAGCCAGTTTTAAAGATGTTTGACTTCAGCAAGACCCCATTTATTGCCTTAACTGTTCACGACCATCTTGGGATGCCAAGCGCCCACTGCTTTGCCGCTCGACCACGCGCAACGCATCGTTCAAACTCATTGGCTTATCATCCGCCCATTCTTATGTAGTGTGATCTTCCTGTATCGTAAAGATGGAGTAGATCACAGTGCTGTAACAAATGAACAGTGCTTTACTTGCTCGTATGTTAAAAATAATGTGAATGGTCTTCTATGTAGTTGTGATTACTTAGCTTGTTGTGCTGCTCTTAGAGAATGCACTTTAGGGTTCGGAACTTGGGGTAAGAAATTGTGTTATGGTTTTTCTCTACCCATCTCCCGTCGCCATTTTTCGAGTTGCTATATGCGTGCCGTGTGTCCATCTTTCGTCTAATGTGAAAAAATCTTAGCTCACCTCTGCTCTCCTCCTCATCTTAGCCACCTCGGCCTTTTGCTTGTCGTTTGTCTCCAACAACATTGTCAGTTTGGTTGCGGCAACACGAACACATACGGCGTAGGGCTTACGCTGCAAGCTTTGTGTGGGAGAGATCCGCTGCGAGCTCGTGCGCCCTCGGTCTGAGAGAGATCGACATGTCCATCTTTCATAGATTTGTTTTTTAAATCGTTAGATGAATTGGGTTATACTTACGAGTACACATATCGAAACTCTTGAATTTGGTGTACCCTATTGAGTACTTGCGCAATTCAATGGCTATATCGCAAGGAGCTTATGTCGATTGGGTGTACGCAACAATACTTAAAAGTTGATTCATCGGAGTACTTCTTTTGATGGAATAATTAGCATGGTGCATCGGTTTATGTGCACTTCATTGCACCACAACCATTTATCTTAATAAGCTTTACGTGAAACCCATATAATTTAACGATTATGACTCGTCAAATTCACATGAACCCGGTGCACTCAAAAAATAGTTCCGCTCAAGGTGAACCGAATCAATGTACTAAAGTAAATCTAGACCGTCAAATCTAGCGGACATACAGGGAAACCCATCATTTATAGCGATCCAAATTCAGTTCAGTAAATATGCTAAGGGATAATGACACAAACAGTTCATGAACTTTGATTTAATGTGTAATTTGAGTCCATGAACTATAGCCAAATATTCAATGTGGTCCCTGAACTTTTAATTTGTTTAAAGTGGTCCCTAATTTTTTGTACATGTTCAATATAGTCCATGAACCATATGAAAGTGTACAATATAGTCCATGAACTTGAATTAATAGAAGGACAACATTGAACATTTTTATAAAGTTCAGGAACCACATTGAACAAATTGAAAGTTCGGGGGACCACATTGAATATTGGGTCAAAATTCAGGAACTACATTGAATAAATTAAATATTCAGAGATCAAATTATACATCGAGTCAAAGTTTATTGACTATTTGTGTCATTTTCTCGTATGCTAATCCCGGAGAAAAGTGGCGTCCAAAAGAAGGAAGAAGAAAGCCGTGGCCGAGGGTCGCGGCGCGTGAGGGTGAGGGTGGGGGTTGGGGGGTGGGGGGCTGAGGGGGTACGAATAGAAGAAAAAACGGGGGAGTGGCGGGGGCCGCCAAGTAGTGAATAGTAAGCAAAGTCGTGTCCGCCGTGGGGGCCGCCGTGTGAAACGATGAAGATGGGGCGATCCTATTTTTCTTATATTGCGCCAATGCTCCCTCCTTCCATCACAATTTCTGGCCCGTCTCCTTCGTTCACTTCATCTTATACGTCTCTTTTTCACGTCCCATCACCGCTCCCTCTCCCTCTCTCCCTCTCGAGAAAAGAAAAATCACTTCACTTTCTCGTGAAAAGATCCTCCCCGAGAGCGCCCCTCCATAGCTTCTTCTGTCACGCCTTGCGAAGCAGCCACTCCAAGTCGCCGATCAAAAGCAAGAAGGCGTTCAAACTACTGGGTCGGGTCGCCTTTCTCGATCACGCTCGTGTCCAAGGAGAAGAAGAGGATCAAATTCGATCCTGATTCTGATCACCGCGCCCTATGGATTCTGCTTCGGGTGCCGGGCCACCCGAGCCGCAGCAGCAGCAGCAGGGCGCCGAGGACCCTTCGACGGCGGCCCCGCCGGCGCCGCCGAGCCGGTACGAGTCGCAGAAGCGGAGGGACTGGAACACGTTCCTGCAGTACCTGAGGAACCACAAGCCGCCGCTGACGCTGGCCCGGTGCAGCGGCGCCCACGTCATCGAGTTCCTCAAGTACCTGGACCAGTTCGGGAAGACCAAGGTGCACGCCTCGGGCTGCCCCTACTTCGGGCACCCGAACCCACCCGCGCCCTGCGCGTGCCCGCTCAAGCAGGCGTGGGGCAGCCTCGACGCGCTCATCGGCCGGCTCCGGGCCGCCTACGAGGAGAACGGCGGGCGGCCCGAGTCCAACCCCTTCGGCGCCAAGGCCGTCCGGATTTACCTGCGCGAGGTCCGGGAGGGCCAGGCCAAGGCCCGCGGCATCCCCTACGAGAAGAAGAAGCGGAAGCGGACCCCGGCGTCTGCCGACGTCGGTGGCAGCAGCACCGCCGGGGAAGGTTCTGGCTCCGGCGACGTTGTCAGCGGCGGCGGCGGCGGAGGAGAAACTACCGGCGGCGGCGGCGGTAATGTTGGACCCACCACCGCCCCGAGCTAGCACCGGCACATATCTTGCCACGTTCAGCGTCTTCTCTTTCTCTTTGTCTCCGCTTTTTCTTTCTCCTTTTTACCTCCATGGCCGCCATTTTTAAGAGCGATAATCTCTGTAATTGTAATTACGAGTCGATTATTACATTCAACCCGCAGAGACGAATCGAAATCTCGCCCACCCTCTTCCGCTCGCCGTCGACACGGTACGTCTTCATCGTCATCTTCTTTCTTCCCATGTCTCTGCTGCGTCGCTTGTCGTTCCGCTCGTTTTCCGGGAAACAACTCTGGTAGACTTGTAGTCTCTTCCGATACTCTTCAGAACGAAAAAGCTTCGGAAGCAGAGACAAAACGAGGAAGAAACCTCGATGGATCCGAGTGCTACTGCTGTGCTGATGGTCCCCTGCTTTGCTTGTCAAGAGCCTGGGCTCCCCCCTGGTGATACCACACGTGCGCATTCATCTGTTTCAGTCCCAGGTGCACCCCCTTCTTCTTCTTCTTTTCCCCATCTCCATCTCTAGATTTCGAACTTTTGGATCACAAATGAAAACAACAACATCGACAACAACAATAATAATCATATGAAAGAAATCTTATTAGATGTTTACCCTCGCCGTTCCGATTTTCACGATTTTAACTCACGGGGTTTTCATCAGCTCCGCCGCCGTCGACGGCGTAAAAATAATTTACTAGATGAATCGACATGCGGGAGAATTCGATTGCGTTCGTCCCACGATTATAGTGTAATTTATTTTTTCACCTGTCGACCCCACGACAATATATAATTCATCTAGCGACACACACTTTCTCTCTCTCTGCCTGCCCTACATTTCTTGCCCTGCTAGAATAATGCTGTGTACTAATATGATGACATTGCTTCTGCGATAACGACGTACGCAGATTAAAGAAACATTTCCATAAGCATCAGATTGGAAGCAAAATCCAAACCTTGTGATTGCTTCCCTCAAATTTCTAGATTCTTTAAAATTTATTCATTTAAATTTTTTTTTGGGGATGACCACCCACCGCGGTGTGAAAGCGACCAGAGGCCAACCCTTTGCTTCCGTTTTCTTGCATCTTGTTGTTATTTATAATCTTTGCATCTTGTTGAGTTCCTTCTTTGTTTATATGGAAATATATTCCGTACCCACCAAAAAATTCGGGTTTTATAATAGAATTTCGGCTCTGCTCGTGAATCGTGATGTTCTGCAATGTCCATGATCCCCTTTTGAAGCTTCCTTCTTGTGGTTATTTCTTTAATTTGGTTGTTTGTGGACCGTGGAGAGCATATGATAGTGTTCTTCTTCGTCACAAATGATGTTTCTGCATCTAATCCGGGGGGACTTTTTGCATTGGAAATTAGAGTTGTTGGAAGCTCGAATGATGCTGCTTATAATAATGCTATCATGAATCTAACCCCTTTGTCTTGCACTTGTTCGATTCGTGTCCACACTTCCGGCTTCTTTATGTTGATGGCATATGAATATTTTGTGTCAAGTTTAGTATAGCCATGATTAAGCTGTGACTGCGCTGTGCTGCATCTGTGCTGTAATTTATGTGTTTAGAATTACATGTTTTAAAGTTACAGCACCTTGAAACTGGGTGAGCACAACTTCCCGAAAACTATTTTAAGCTACCGTAATTGTCTACGTTTACGGGGTACTTGCTGAGACCTTATAGAAACTTCAACGATCAACGCCTGCTTTCGCAGCTGTAACCGCTGCAAAAAAGGCGTACCAAACATGCACTAGTTCAAGTAACAAATGGCCTTTTTTCTCAACTAATGCTAAACACATGAATATTGGTACATAGGATCGACCATATCGAACACTGAATAAGATATATATTGAACAATGAATAAGTGGTATGGCAAATGGTATACGACTACTTAAACAATACGATCATGTTGTACACTGAATAAGATATATGTTACACGCACTTTGTAACTTAATATTTAGTAGTTGGCTTTTCAACACGCATAATATATATTTTACCCTAAACATCTATACACGTATACTTTCGGTGAAAAATCAGATTCGAGATTTGTCTATCTTGCCGATAAAGTTCATTTGCATTTTTGAAAGTACAATAATGGACGACTGAAGGATAGTGTCTTCAAGCACAATAAATGACCAGGGTAATTAATAGATTCTGGATGCGTGGGCAAATTTGGAATTAAAATGAAAACTGAGCATTTTTTTGAGATAAAAAAAAAGTTCGGGATCATAATTAATATTAGATCTAAAATTGGGGGTCTTTTAGGAAATTAGCCGGCGTTTGAAACCAATAAAACAAGAGAAATTATATAGCTTTTATGCAGGTGGATGAGACCGCTTCTTTAATGTTTTCAAGTACACCGGCGGTTTATGTACTGTAATTTCCTTTAAAAAAAGAGCCCCATTTTAAAGATTTCTTTCATACTGGTCCAACTCGTTTTAGGCCAAAAGCTAGATGATGTATGGTGATTATGTCATTATGTATCTACTGTTCAAGTTCCGAATGAAGCTCTGCTATTAGCCTCGGCTCTTGATTTAGTACGCTACATGGGCAAGAGAGACAAAAACAGCTCATCTTATGTAATCGTCAAAATTGATTATTTGAATGTCCAAACTATTTTTTGGGGAGGAATGTTCTGGGGGAGGTTATATATCTAATCTAATATCTAATAATTGTAACTAAAAAAGCGGCTGGTCTCACTTCTAGGTCCCTCCCGATTATACTTTTAAAATAAAACGGAAAACAACGTAAATTGTCCATGATCTTTGATTCAATGTAGTTCCTAAAATTTTAATTTATTCAATATGGTCCATGAACTTTAGTCTAATATGTAATGCGGTCTCTAAACTTTCATTTGTTCAAAGTGGTCCATGAACTTTTGATACAAGTTCAATTCGGTCCCTTAATTATATGAAAATGGCCAATGTTATCTTTGAACTTGAATTAATGAAATGACAGCATTGAATATTTTCATATAATCCAGGGACTAACTTGAACATGCACCAAAAGTCTAGGGATCACATTGAATAAATTAAAAATTCAGGGATAACATTGCACATTGGGTTATAGTTCATGGACCATATTTGAACAAATCAAAAGTTTAGAGACCACATCACATACTGGATCATAATTCATGGACTATTTGTGTTGCTTACAACTTACACAACAAACGATAAAACAGTAAAGTGTCACTTACCTCTTATGGCTGCGTAACATTCTCTTCATCAACTCCTCATATCATCTCCGCTTCTTATTACCATTCTCTTCGTTATTTTTCGAATGATAAAATTAAATAGCTAAATCGGTTTGTCCAACAACAAATAGAAACTAATGTCGAGTTATAAAGTTCACAGAAAAATAAGCATGATGATTATTGGCGCGTGCATGAGGTCATAAAATTCATTATAACTACTAACATTAGGTAGCGATCATCCTTCGCTATCATTTTTGGAAGGCAATGAAATTCATAATATAAAAAAGATTGCATGTATTATATGGTTAATACCAAGGGCAATTCAACCTATGGGGAAAGGGCTTGGTCAAATACAGAAAAAAATAAAAATAAAGAACCGAGTAGGGCCACCACAACCCTCCTCTAGGTCTGCCAATCTGAAAAACTACTAGAATCTTCTCTCTCTCCTAACTTATAATATATGAGTGATTATCCTTGATTAAAGATTTAGCACGTCCCTTATTCTAACTAACTTAATTTAATTCTAGGCGTCAAATTATAATATAAGTCGCTGTTGACACCGAACAGTCTTGTCCGCAGCACCGGCAGATAAATTATTGAGAGCTAGGGTTATGACTATAGAGGAATATACACATAATTTCATTTATTTATTTATTTATTTTGCGATTTTTGCTCTCTGTTGTTTTTTGCACCCACCGACTTATTTACTTGTCGCAGAAAAGAAGAGGGGAATTTGGACAAATCGGCAGTACGTCGGACGATGCAGGTACGACGTACCGGGCTGCATGTATGGCGGTACCTCGCCCATGTCCATGCATGCATCGACATGTTTGGACCGAAACGTACGTCCAAGGACGGATGCTAAAGGCGTAAATGAGAGTCACCAGTCAAAGAAGAGGAGAGTGCAATGAATGGATCTGAAAGCTTTTTGCATATGGCGCTTTGTGGGACGTGTTTGGGTCCCGAACGACCTCCGATAGTGAGAGTGCATCGATACAGGGAAAGGGTCTTGATCGCTGCTACGGCTTTCCTAATTGTTTTCCTTGTCCGAACTCCTGCGTGACGAACCGAATTGCCTGTCGAAGATATCCCTAAAAGTCGGCACGCCTCGGCTCGCATTTGTACTCTCGAGGCATTTTACACGGGTTAGTTGCCCAAGGGATGTCATCGATTTGTGTGGCTGTGCAAAGTGAGGATGTGGCTTAAGTCGAGCAAAGCAAGCACTTCTCAGCACTGGCTTTGAATTGGAGATACGACATAGTCGAATGCTGATGTACATGCGACGCGTCGTCGTGGTACAGGTATAGCAAGTGCGCGACCGAAAGGCTTTAAGTAAATCATACCCAGTACAACTGCGCAAGAGTTGGAAAGAGAAAGAGCGAAGGAGATGTGTCTAACCGAAACTAGTACCTCTTTCCCGAGGCTGCTTCCATAGCAATCAGCTGTATGTGTCGGATATTACGTCGAGGGTATTCAGGCACTTGCATCGACATTTCGATGCAGTAGATGAGCAGAAGATGCGCGCTTTGCAGCGGTGCATCTCCCCGCAATAACTATAAGCTTGGTTGGTATTTAGCCGAAAGCCGATAAATTAAGGTGCACATGTTTACGCAACGTATGCGATACTTCATCTTTCACCTTTAGGAAAACATTCCATTGCTCTTCTCCACAATCAAATCTGTTGGGGCTGTGTTGGTGGTCAAATTAAACATGAGGAAAAGGCTCATCCTTTGAGCTAATTTTTGAGGGTGAAATAGGCCAATATCACCCAACACTGGTATGAGAGCTTAGGTTACTAACAAATTTAGACAAAATAGTCACGTGGGAGATACGGGTTATTGCCGCTCTGAACCAAGGCCGGATATGTGAGGAAAAGATTATTGGGGTTATCCCACATCCCTTATAAAGGGGCGGGTGGTCTCTTTTTAAATGTGAACGAAAGTCTCACGAGCTAATTTTTGAGGTAAAAGATGCCTAAAATCACCCAACAGAATCTTCAACCATAACAACAAACTAATTAACTTAGGCCAAACATGTACTGCACATGCTGCCACAGTATTGAGGAGACATTGGGACAGATCATGAAATGGAACTCGACTTTAGTCGGATAACTCTGAATTCATGTAATCCTCCTACTAGTCCACTTACCACACGAGTCTCTAAGTTCAGGCGGATGGCCTTCAAAGTTTGAGGGATCGAACAGGGGAAAGAGCCTGTTTCGCAACCACTAAATTAATCGAGCCACATCAAATTCAAAAATCCCCGAAATCAAGGGAAAAGTGTCGGAAAAGTCCTAAACCTTTTGCATTTGTGCCAATTTAGTCATAAACTTTTTTTTTATGCCAATTCAGTCCTAAACCTTTTTGTCTTTGTGCCAATTCAGTCTTTCTAGCTAATTTTGGCCAGATTTTGCTGACTTGGATACCAGCCGGCTTACGTGGCACCACCAGAGATGACTTGGACAATTTTTAATAATATTTTAATATTTTTCGAATTTTTTTATTTTTATTTTTTTTATCTTTCTTCTTCCTCTAGCTGGTCGTCGGCCTCTGGCAAGCCCTGCCCCGCCAATCACTGGCGAGGGCGGCGAGGCTCAACGACCCTCACAGGATGGCCGCGAGGGCGGCCTTGCGCTGGGCTGGATGAGGCTCGCCCTCGCCGAATCCGGTGATGGTCGAGCCTCGCCGGCCATGGGGGAGGCCCGACATCTCGCCAAATCCGGCGAGGTCGTCCCTCGCCCAGCCTAGCTCAAGGTCGCCCTTACAGCCATCTAGCGAGGGCTCGAGCCTTGCGCTGGGCTGGACAAGGCTCGCCCTCGCCAGATTCGGCAAGGTCGTGCCTCAAGCTGGGCTGGGTGAGGCGAGCCTCACCATTGGCCGACGGGGCTCGTCGGCCTCCAACCGGTCACCGGACCAGCGACCGGCTAGAGGAAGAAGAAAGATAAAGAAAAAAAAATTCGAAAATATATTAAAATATTATTAAAAATTGTTCACGTCATCGCCCCGCCGGCGTCCACGTCAGCAAAATTAGTCGGGAGGACTAAATTGGCACAAATACAAAAGGTTTAGGACTGAATTGACATAAAAAAAAGGTTTATGACTAAATTGGTGGTTTAGGACTTTTCTGACACTTTTCCCCCAAAATCAGAGAAAGCGAAAAGAGAAACCAAAGAAAAAAGAAGAAGATATTACTTGCCCGACAACGATTGAAGGAGAGACTCCGTCCGATTGCGAACTCGAAGAAGAGAGAGGACAATCCCGTAGGTAGGAAGAAGAAAGGGAGCGAGCGACAGCAGTGACAAATGACAAGATGATCAAGAGGAAGAGATGAGAGAGATGGCGGAGATGGTGGGGGCAGAGTCGCGAAGTCGTGACAGTGAAAAGGAAGGAGGAGAGGGTATTGATAGATGGTTGTCGAGGCTGTCGGAGACTGAGAGCGACGGTTTTTGCTTCAGTTTCGGCCTCGGTCGTCAGTAACAGAGAGAGTTTCAGTACGAGAAAAGGCCAACAACCTCCTTCTAGGACCATTTTCAGAATGAGTTCTGATACATCATCTGCTTCGATTTCCTCTACTTGTTATGTTTCCCCTTATATTCTTGCGCATAATATTTCCATTTACCTATTTGTTTTCATTTGTTTGGAAACAATTGCGCGCACTTTATCTAAAAGATTCATTATTCATCTCCCGATCATTTGTCGATGACGGATTTTGTCGAATCATTGATCGCAGTTTCTAATTAGGGAAAATGTTCAAAATGGTCCGTTTTAAAAAAAAAATCACTCTCCATTTTGTCAAAGCTAGGACACTGTGGCACCACTCCTTCTCTCCTCTCGGGTTTGCTTGCCACTTATGAGGTGACTCTCATTTTCAGGCGCAGAGAGTGGCGTGACCATGTCCGGCCACCAACAAAGGCGTGCGAGTGTCAGGAACGAAAATTGCTGTCATGATCAAGGCTTCAGTGCTCTAACTGCAGCTATGATTGGGGTTTTAGAATACTTGCCGGTGGCAAACGAGGGTCGGTGACCATCGATTGAGGATGGCTGGGTAGCGTCACTTACTCTCTCTCTCTCTCTCTCTCTCTCTCACACACACTTGTATTTCGTTTGTCCAAATTGAGCATCACTGCGTCCATGCTAGCAACACAATGAAGCAACTTGCACATTTCAGAAACAGTACTTAAAGACAGTTTTTAACTAAACGAAGCACGAGAGCGATTTCGATTTTCAAGTAACAATATGTGATGGCGTTCGTGATCGTCACATGAGCTCATGATGTCTACGGAGCGACGTTTAATAGGTTCACTCATCATCGATCCTCTATCAGCAATGTTATCGTTAGGCATGACTTAGGGCATTCATTAGTCTGTTCCCAATGATAGGAACTACCTAGTTACCGTCTGAGGAGGAGCCAGAGACGTTTCTTCTTATTATTTAATATGATGCGGCTGCAAAGGATGATGGCCACGAGCTGTTGGGCTTGCCTGCAGATGGAACCTGCTTCGCGTGCCATCATGCACTTTTGGATACGAGTAAATTTTGTTCCACTTTAGATCTTCCAACTAAGGAGCATCAGACAGCAATCTCAAACGGCGACCAGTGAATGGCGTTAAAAGAAATCTCAGCATCGATAAAAGTTTGTCTGCATTGGTTTGTTTACCTACCTTCACGACCTCAAACAGAGACTGGCAAATGTCTCTCGAGCGTCGTGTTTACTATCAAATCCATATCAGCAAAACTGAAGAATTTGAGATCAGATTAAGGTTTCGAATAAATAAACCGTTGACAAAGCAATTGGCTGATAACCTGCTTTATACTCGGTATGTATAAGAAGAAACGGAAAATGCCCAGACTCATCTATTATCCTTCTCTTGCGTCAATGAGCAGGGGAATAGCCGTATTTTAGGAAATAAGCGCACATACGATAGTAATCCCCGACTTTGAGTTGTAAAGAGAACGTGAATCTTTCGTTATAAATTAAAAAGTTTAGAATCATTTCTCTTTTGACCACAGAATGCCAAACTGCATTCTTCTCTCCAGTGAAGGGCTGCCTATGTTGCTAACCAATCTAAATTATTGGTCATTTCGAACGAAGCCCAGATAATGACTGCCACGCACAAAAGACTATTTCGATCACTGCTTCAAACTTTATACAAGTACGTATCAGAAGAATTTACATGTTCATCTGAAACACATGGCTGTGAACCACTGAACTGAAAGTGCCTGCCTGCACAAAGCTTGAATTCTGCTCAAACGGTGAAAATCTTTCGAACCTTTTTCATTTTCCTACGACAGATGGGGCAAGAACCATCTTCCTCCGCAATCCTGAAGAAATAAAAGGTCAGTAAACATCTAAAGATCTTGAAAAGGACTCCCATATCATGATGCATAGAAAGCACATATAAAGTTATAAATTGGACAGCTAGTGTCTTAATCGCATGGGTACTTGTTAGCAATGGGAAGACGATCATGTTCTTTCCCATACATCAACAAGTAGTAACGTGTGAGCCTCTAAAACAATTAACTGCCATGAGTAGTGAGATATGTCTACCTTGATCCGCATGCATAGCATGCAGCACAGTGTCCACAGGGAAGGAAGAAGCAATCCCTGGGGGCATCAAAACAAATGACGCAGAGACCGCGGGGGTTGCTGTGATTTTCTCCTTCTCCAAATGGCTTTCCTTCAAGAGCAGTGACTGCAAGCTGCTCTTCCAAATCCTCCTCATCATGCGATACGGAATCATAAGATGAACCCCAGCTTGATAGGTCATCCTCCTTAGGAGAAAGCAACGGTGCCCGTTCAGTTTCCATCTGTCCCGGTTGAAGTCCTGTACTTTCTCCACTGCTAAATTGGAACACGTTACAAAGTCGGAATGCTAACAGTAGGAGAATGGTCATAACACCTACAAGAAGAAAAGCCTCAACATAAGCGTGACCATACCCACGAAATTACAGGTAAATTGATGAGAAAGAAGGAAGGAGAACCTGATCCAACAAAATAAGTGATCCACCGTGGACCATAGGAAACTTTGATGTACCAATTGTTGTCAGGGGAACCCTAATTATAAAGTCACAAATTTCCATATGTAAAAAGTAAAGATCGACAAGCAGGGAGTTCCTACGGTTACAGCTTCTGTACCTCTTTAAATCCTGGAGAACTCAGAACAGCGGCATTTTCCCTCAGAAGAAAGAGCTTCAAGCTACATGAGAGGTTTCCAAGGGAGCATCTATAATACGCCTGGCTTGTATCATAGAGAAAAGCATTTACAGTGAACTTCAACTCTACCTGTGAAAACAGATAGGTACATTAGTTTATCACCCAAATATGTCAGCAAATGCATGACAAGGAAATAGTTATGTTAGATAAATGTAAAATGCATGCCTTCTTCATTCAATCATCTAGAAAAGCATAGAACCATTTATCATGTTAACCGCTCTGTTTTGCAAGATGATGAGGAGCATCCTCTGCTAAAATCTGCTACACCATGAAACCGCCTCTTTGTAGTTTGCTAAGTCAAGCACTAAATAGTCATAAAATTTTGTGCGCATTAACTACTATGTTCCAAAACACGGGATGATATTTCATTTAGAGATACGTAGCTCAACACACGGGGTTTGCCTTGGCCTAGAAACTATCCTCATTTAAGAAAGCCGTATTTTGAGTACATTGATAGGCCTCTTCTAGTAAGTAAGCCCTTCAATCTAGACGATATCAAGTTTCCTTGAATACCTCATTAGACATGCTCATTTAAATTCTGCTTCTTGGCGCAAGAAAAAAATAGTTTCGAATTTCTTACACAAGATATAATCCCAGTCATAAAGCTTACTGGCTAAACTTCCAGTCAAGTAACTTCCTAACAGTAACCATCTCATGCTCACTAATTGATGTATATCTACATCCTTCTTTTTCCTTTTTCCAGATACTACGTGATTTAAGATAAGTTTTTACAGTTGATTCTGCTAGAATGTCAGACACGCATAATCGGTAATGTTACCTTCACCTCCTCTGAATTTAAGTTACCAACGGCAATATAATAACTAGAAGATGTAGAAAATTCTTGCTGGACTGTGCCCATCCCTGCATAGTGATATAATATCAGCAAAGCCTATCTGAACAAGTGGTCAGAGGAGTCTCTTAGATTAGAAATTTTACCGTATATTATATTCCAAGATAGTGTTGTATTTGGATAAGATGGATCCTCAATCCACTCAACAAGGCTTTCTCTGCCTGCAAATTTTATAGGAATTTTAGGTCAGGGTGGTACAGAAAAGAAGAAACTGAAAACAAACTGATCCACTTCGACTCATAAACCAGTAGTAGCATTCACTAGCACAAAAAATTGCAGATGCATTATGTCAGGCCACAATTTCAGGCATTATCGTTGCAGTTGCCAAAGAAACGACAAAGGATAACATTTGATAAAGGAACTAGGTTTTAACCAGGAAAACATCATCCTAGTCAAAAAGAAGAACACATTTTCTCAGACCATGCAAGTAGCTGTGTAACCAATTATCAGATAGGATGATCAATCAAAAAATTTAAGCAGTCGCCTGCAAATAAGAGCCTCAAGTAGATAGAGTCAGATAGAAAATGCTCCAACTGAAACAGGAAACTTTTAGTAGAAATTGCCCTATTTGTTGGATTTAGTTCCGACAGAAACTTGTATTTACCTCTGGCAATCACTAGGGATACAGGCAACGGAGATTTTACACTGTAGGAGACATGTACTTTTGATCCTTCATTCAGGAAGTGTATCCACTCCTGCAAGACAATCAGTTAAATACACTGATCAGAACGTTGGCAGCACTCAAATGGAAGATGAGGGCAACAAGATGAGGTACCAAGGAGAAGATCAACAATTTAGTAGATGATATCATGCCTTGTGAAAGTTGGCTGCTATAGATACATTATGTGTTTCTGTCCAGGTTGTTTCGACATCGAGGAGTGGAGGTTTGGAATAACCATACAGCATGGGACCAGATTTTGATTCATCTAATTCCTCGACCTGTTCAAGAAGTTAACAAGGTCACTAGAGAACACAAACAGCCCTTCAGGCAGCCAAACTATCAAAACTCGAGAGAAAGAAATGAAAAGCGACTCATCACCTTAATGGACTGCACAAATATAGGATTAGTCTGTATAAGCCGAGAGCAATTTGGCCCCAACTCTAAATTTATAGATCCATACAACCCAAGAATCAAAGTCATAGATGCTGCTGGTGACAAGTAGGAGGAGAAAACCAAAACGAGTCGATCAGTTCTGTGCTTGAACAAGCACCACTCAAGCCAAACAAAGCGTAAAGTCAATACAAGCTTATGCTCTTGCAAGCTATCGACTGGATGCACTCGAATCTGGGAAGTAAATACAATTGGAGAAAAAAAAAAGCAAGCTTTGATCGTATACGAGTCACTAGGCTTTTCCGAATTAGTTCGTTCCTCGCATTGAAGAACACGCACGGGAGAAAATGAATTACTGTATCTTCTGGTACTAACGAATAATCAGAATATCATATCAAGGACCAAAACAAGAGCTCTTGCTGGCGAAAACTAACTGTATCAACCTAATCTTCTCGAATCACGGAATTTAACACATGATCGAACAGAAAAGAGCAAACCTTCGAACGCAAGAACTATCGATAGGCGCTAGACATTGTCGAATTAATTCCAATCATCGTTTCAAAGAACATGCTGGGGAGACAACGAGATCATATACAATTATGCAGTCGAGAGTGAAGGAAAAGGAAAACGGACCGAAGAACCAGAAGACAACGAGAACTACGAGGCAGGACCAGACATCGTCTCTCATCTCTGAAGAGGCCACATTGGAAAAGGTGAAGTTGACCCGATACGACACGCGAGGAGGCCGCCGCAACCACTGCCGCCGCCGGTCGTGGCGGCGGAGGTAGAGGTGGTGGAGATGCACGTCTTCGATCTCATCGCCCTCGACGCCCTCGCCCTCGACCCGCGAGGTCGACGGGGCGGAAGGCGGTGGGCTTTCGGCCGCGACCGAAGAGGAGGAGGAAGAAGAAGCCACGGGTTCGCGCGGCTCGGGATTCGACGCATCCTCCATTCGGCGAAACAAGAAACCTTATGAGCTGAGAACAGAGGGAGGGTGGTCGATTTGGCCTGTGATCCGGAGGCGCTCAGCGGTTGTTGCTATGTCTGAGAGAGAGGAATGGAGAACGAAGAAGAAGAAGAAGAAGAAGAAGAGCAATGTTCGGGTTCATGGGTCTGGGGGCTTGGGGGCATACCTTGGAGGGTCGTGGACTGAACCAGCCATTGCTGATGCAGGGGGGCGGTGGTGGTGGTGGTGGTGGTGGTGGTGGGGGAGGGCTGGGGAGCCTCACCAAGCAGTCCCACTCGGTGGCACTCTGTTTCTTGGCAGGTCGGAGGAATGGTAGTTGTCTCGGCGACGGGTAGTTAGTTCGTTGTGGATGTCCTCAAAAAACAACGGGCTCGTCGGTCCGACGAAGTAATCTTATTGGTCGTCCGCCCGTTTACGTTCAAAGTTGTCTCGCCATGATGTGACGGAGAATTGCGCTAATGAGCACGCGAGGCCGTCATCAAAAGGTGTAAAGATAACGTGAAACGTCTGCGTCTTTTGTTGAGTTTTTTGAGTAATAGATGTTTATCTGTTCGATGAAATGTCATGGGACTCGATGTTTGTACCAAATGAGATCATGACATGACTCTTAAAGGAGCATTTCGATCGTGTGATAACAACTAGATGGAGCAGTGATTCCATAGGAATATAGACAAATTCAAATAGGAATGGCCCTCTCGCAAATGCTATTAAACATACGGCAGGATAACCATTCCATTCGAATGAGCTACACACGGCATTGACATAGTTATTGAAGTGACCTGGACATGTTATTAGTTAGGTTGGTCACAACCGGAAGCTACTCTACTACCCCGCCTCACTCCTTGCATTGGACTTGTTATGTTAAGCCTTTCTATAGTGGAATTATTAAAAAAAAAAAAAAATTTGGGGTTGAGGGGAGGGGGGAGTGGGGGCAATTGCAAATAATCGTAACCCTGAAGTAAATATAGATATAGATAGAATGTAAATATTCTCGAAGATCAGATACGTTACTTTTGCAAGGTTGGACATAAATAATTTTTGTGCCTTTAAGTGATGCTATGAATTCAAAGAAAAGGCGAAGATCGATATTTTTTTTATGTGTTTGGTGTTGCATTTCAAGTAAAATACCGCAGTTGGTAGAGACGTTGAGGATTTCCAGCTAAGGAGCCAGACGTCATTCATTCGAATTCCACATACTATACGCAAACTATCATGGATCAGTGCCACCTGTACACTCCCAAAACTTGGGACTTCCTTGTGGGGGTTTGCAGATCAGCCCCTAAGGGTGCGCATGAATGCATTCCGAATAAAAATTGTTCAAATGCATTCAACAAACGACGTTTGTTAAAAATTTAACGCATTCTGAGCGATTTTCAGATTCTGAATAAAAATGCGTTTGTTAAAAATACTTGATTCCGAGACGCATTATTTTCGATTCGATCGGAATGAGTTTTGGCAAGAAAAGAGAAGCTACTTTTTGTAGTTTCTGATTTCGAAATGCATTCTCCCTATTTTTCATAATTTTTTTTTCTAAAATGCATAAAAATTGAAAAATTCTAGAAAAATTCATAAAAATTTCAGAAAATAAAAAAGTCAGATTTCGGGAAAATATAAAATTTGGTGAATTTTTTTAAAAAAATAAAATAAAAATAAAAATTTCAAAACTTCACGAATAGCTTAAAACACATGTGGCACCCACTTTGAGTGAAATTTAAATTTTTGAGGTAAAAAAAAATCAAAAATTTCAAAACTTCACAAAATGGCTTAAAATACCTGTGCCACCTACTTGAATGAAATTTAAATTTTTGAGGTCTTAAAAAAAAAAATAATAAAAAAATAAAAATTTTCAAAACTTCACAAAATGGCTTAAAATACCGTGTGCCACTCACTTTGAGTGAAATTTAAATTTTTGAGGTGCCCAAAAAATAAAAATAAATTTATATTTCAAAACTTACAGAATGGCTTAGAATATCGTAGCCACCCACTTTGAGTAAAATTTAAATTTTTGAGGTGCCCAAAAAATAAAAAAATAAAAAAATTCAAAACTTCACAAAATGGTTTAGAATACGGTGGCCACCCACTTTGAATGAAATTTAAATTTTTTGGTGCCCAAAAAATTAAAAAAATAAAAAATTTCAAAACTTTCTGAATGGGCTTTATAATACATGTGGAACCCACTTTGAGTAAAATTTAAATTTTTTAGGTGCAAAAAAATCAACAAATCAAAACAGTTTCGGAGCGGAATTAGTCATGTTTTACTAAACAGATTTCTCCTCCGAAATCAATTTCAAGCAAAGAATTCCGAAATCAATTTCGGCAAGAATTTGATTTACGGAGCGAATGGTTACCATTCGCGCCCTAAGTAACCAAATCTCGGGCGCATGTCGCTAGATTATTTAAGGGGAAAGAAAGAGAGAGTTAAATAATGCATGGTCACAACAAGTGAGAATGCCATATAACCTTCCCTCAAAACCAATCTTTCCTCATTTGTTCTTATATGGCAAGCCGCAAGCAACCTCATTTGTAATTTGTTAAAAATAATATATAACTAATATATATGTATATTTGAAGATATAACGAATTGATATATATATATATATATATATATATATCTAGTATAAGTATACATCAATAATATTTGGATATATATATATATATATCTAGTATAAGTATATATCAATAATATTTGGATCCAATCATTGTGCTCTAATGTGATAAACTGCCAGCATGTGTCTTTAGTGAAGACATAATTGGCAGGTTCTCGAGAAGGCATGTCACTAATTTTGATTGATAGGATGGTGGTGCTACCATCGGAATAAGACCGGAGTGGGTTTTGAGGATTGACTTCGAGACAGATTGGCATGGGCCACTATACTATCACGTGACAATGATGTTCCACATGACTATAGGGTCCACAATAATTATTAGAATCGTGCGATTCTCGATCTATGTCGTATGTGTCAGATTCAAGATTTTGCATATTAAGTGAATTGCCAATCTCCTGAATTGTAAGTACACGCATTTATCGATGCGATTTTCTATATGTTTTACCTGACGAATGATGTATTTTTACCACGTACATCATATTTTGATAGTTACGTAATAATCAAAAGCAAATTTTGGACTATATGATGCAATGGTGAATGAAATGAGTACACCAAGAAATTACATCTTCTTATGATCATCATAGTAACAAAGAATTGAGATTTTCTTTTTCCTAAATCATAATTCTTACCCAAAGTTTTATACTTTTTAACAGTGTTTATAGAATTCACAACTGTCTTAGTGTCTTTGATACAAAATACTAATTTTAGTTACTCTATCGAATTTTACGATTCAATTAGATTTCTCGATTCACGATTCATAGATTTAAATTTTCTGTTCACGATGCGCATCTCGATTTAATAATTATGGGGAGTGCCAACTAAATACATTAATATGGTATATTCGTCGTAGAGGTGAAACAACAGTTGGGACAATCAGTTTAGTGAACTTAAAAAGGAGGTTTGCCCACATGAATAATTTCTGCAAAAGGAAGAGTTTTGCTAAGCGGGTCTACATCATCTCTAATCTATAAAAGAATTTTTTGCCAGGGATGTTGAGTGAAAGAAATTCACCACGGCCGTGATAGAGGAGGACCCTGTGAGAAAGGACTTAAAAGAGACGACTGGCTCGACGGTAAAGGCTGGCACGGGGAGCCGAAGTCGAAAGACGAGCGAGACCATCAAGTGCTTCTTCTCTTTTGGGAGGCTCGGTGCAAGGCAACAAGCCATCCTCGAAAGCATGAAGATTCTTGTTCCAAATCGAGGAGTGGAATGTGACGTGCTTGTTTTTGTTTACACCAAATTCGTCATGTGAAGGTGATTAAAGAATACAAAACAATAGATTACTAACATTACTTGCCTCCTACGCCTGTGCTGCTTCTTAAGTGATCATGATGATGCTTTGATTTGAAGCTGCAAATTTTGACTATAAAATCTCATAGAAATCAAAGCTAGGAAGATGCCAGAGTCAAAACCAATAGGTCGCAACCAAAACCCCAAAGCTAAACCCAGTTGCCACTCGTCATTTTCCATGGGTGGGGCATACTATTCCTCTCCTGGATGGTTGTCTTTACTAGAAGCTAGGGATTTTACTTCAATGCTAGGAGAAACACAGAAATAAGAAACCTAATCAAGATCTAATTGCAAATAAGCGAATGAATTAGCGATCTCCTGGGCCCCCCTATGGGTAAGAAACCTAATCAAGACCTAATTGCAAAAAAATTCATGAATGCAAGCGTTCGAATTTTAGCACTATTGCCTGAAATGAAAGGACTAATTCTTGGTCTATGCAACTGTTTGGCCACTTCAAGCTCCCAGAGAAGCATATCTAGCATTACAGCCCCAGAGTCCCTAAAGCATAATTGCGAAGCACAGTCACAGATATGAAACCAATAACAACATGAGTACACGGTGCACCAAGAAGTGAATGCTTGAATCCCGACACAACTTATGCATCATCCAATGACGAGAAGATAGGATTTACTCTCCGATGAAGACGTTAAAGAGACCGCAAACACGGAGCAAGTGATCTCGATGGTAGTACATTGATAAGATGTGCAGAAACAGATATATTCACCAAGAAGGAAAGTTTCAACCAATTGAAATGTGCTAATGACAAACAAGAAGGACAAAGGAGGATGGAATCTCATCTCACAAGTCTCTCTGTGAATGAGAATGCTCTCTAGATCTGCTCGACCTCATTCCCACTGCTGAAATGCAACTCATGGTAACGGATCGAAATGGATCAACAGGCACAATTCATATGCCTGATGCCAGAGCAACTGAAAATGCACAAGGAAAATGAACCGTGATCTCCCTGACGAATTCTGCTTCAAAACCGTTGACAACCTAAGAGCAAGCAGCAAGCAGCAAGCAGCCACTTTTTCAGCCTTAACTGGCATCACCACTGCCGTTGATTAAAACCGAATGATAATTATGAATTCTTCCTACTGCACTCAATGGCTACCCCTACATATACCCTGTCACAAGACTCACAACTGAGGCACCGTCTGGACCTCCCCTACATGGAGTCACTTCTCTATAGTCAGCCTCGACAGATGATAGTGGATGATAGCATTTGATAATCAGAAAGCTGGAGTGAAAACATTAAACCTTGTCGAATATATTATACATCTTACCAGCATCAATCCTTTTTAGAGAACACAATGATGTCACCATCATTCTAACTTCCACAGGATATCAGCAACATTAAGCTCACACAACATATCGACAGAAACATTTAGGGTATGAAGTAAGTTACCGCATTGTAACAATTCACTATTCTGTACAAGAATAATTTCGATGAAAACTTACTTTAGTTGCCAATTCACAGAGAATTTTGTACTCCTGGAACTTCTTCATGGTATGACGAGTGATCAGCAAATGAGCCATTATCTAAACCCACCTCAGTACATCCAACTCGATTTCAAAACCATAAAACTTCAATTATTACCAACCACAGCATCCACAGAGTCATACAAAAGCTCATTGCATGATTACATCTAAAATTAAATCGATCCATCTCTCTAACATATCCTGATGGCAGAAGGGTTTCTAAGCATTTAACATAAAAGGATCCTTCTAGCTGCCACTAACTTCATTCAAGTTCAATAAACATCAATATAATTCGCTATAAATTTAGATTTAAATACGACGCACTTCATCGATGAAAGTATACCAAAAGCAGCAGCCTGATGCACTTTTACCTCTCAAATTGATTGTCGGAGCTTTTGCAGAACTTCCAATCTTGAACCTAGTGGCATCGACAAACCAGAGCGCACCAAAAACAGGACGCTATCGTACTTACTTAGGCTACCACGCAAAAACATTCATTCAGAGGCTTTTCCAAAGCTTCTGCTTTTCAAGTCGTCTAGAGCCATGGAAAAACTGACTCTACGAAGCAAAGATGAATAAGCACAGCAATTTGAACATCTCCCCCTGCTTCTGTTCTTCGGCAAAGCAAATGCAGACTATCACTCAAAAGCTCTTTTTCATGACCCTTGTGACTACAGTTAAGCGAACTTTTACAAACTATCACAGCAAGAAAATAAGGTTGACATAGAGCTGATAGATGCAAAATATAAAAAAATAGTACCTATCCAAACACACCATATGATCGTCTGGCAGCTTCTCGGCCCTGATATTCCTAATAACATTCTAGAACTCAATCTTCTCCAATTACCACGATTTCAAATACAATGTACACCGACTCCTTTTCCCACTCATATGAAGAACTTAATATCTCGGCTTTGAATTAAAAAACACGAAAACAAAAAAGCAGGCGACCCAATAGAACATAAGTACCTTCATATCTCGGCGGTGCGGGGCTAGTAATGAAGAGAAGCAGTCCCGCAGTCAGCGTCCTTACAATACAAAAGAAGCATAACAAACGCAACACATGAGTACCAAGTTCGCGATTGACCACGACAGAGCTGGCTCCAATTGAAAGACAGTACTACTCACCGACACGAACAGCCAAACATCTAAGACTTACTTTCGCAAGACCAGACACAGCTAGAAACGAGCCAAGGTCAACTTTGTTGACCAAGAGAGTATTGAAATTCGATCAAAGCTCAAGAAGCACAAGCTTAAAGTGATTGATATTACTGATAAACCATCATCGCTCAATCGATGGATGCGATCAGGCCCCCGAGCTCTCCAGCTTTCCGCCGTTCCTTCCGCCGGCACCGTTCTGCAAGGCACGGCGTTGATACACGACGCCGGAGAAATTGACCGACAAATCCGAGTATATCGAAAGCACCTTCGAGACGTTCCCATTGATCTCGCGGATCAGCGCGACGTTCTTCGCGAGGTTGTCGGGAACCTTGGACTGGTGATTCTCGTTGACCTGCGAGATGAGCGCCCGGTTCCGGTCGAGCGCGGACTGCACTTGCCTGAAGCTCGCGCTCAGCATCTCCCAGACCTCGACGTCGCATCCCCCGCCCTCCGGGCCGGCGTCCTCCCCGCCGCCGGGCTCCGGCGCCGGGCGATCCGCGGTGGCGACGGTGGTGGTGGTGGTGGTGGTGGTGCTGTCGGTGTTGGCGTTGGTGGTGGTTCTCCGAGGCTTAGCGGCGGCGGATTCCTCCATGGATGACGGCGGCCGGACCGATTTTCACGCGCGCATCGATGCATGCGTGACTGCAAGTGGAATCACGGCAATGCACATCTCTCTCAACTCGCGAAATTTCTAATGACGTAAGAGCGAGCCTTTTGTATCTGGTGCCGAAACGTGCGATCGTCGCCGCCGGTGACTCGTACCGGTGCAACGTTGTAGCCAAACCGACTTGCACTAAAGGTAAACGTGGGTCCATGTGACGTATAGATATTCAATATTAAATATTATTCCTGAAATTGAATCGATAAAAAGATAATATTGAATATTTTCGTTTAGTCTAAAGACTAAATTAAATACAATTAAATATTCAGGGACCATATTGCTCAAATCAAAAATTAAGAAATGATATTGTATAATAAGTCAAAATTCAGGATCATTTGCATAATAATTCCTTAATTCTTCCGGCTCGATAAAAGCTAGCTCTGCAAGTCTCGTGAAGTTGAAGTTGGTCATGCCGTACGTATTTGTGCATATTGTACCACACAGGGTTACATAGGTAAATATATGGTAGGTCGTATCGCATTGTTTAACAATGATCTTCTGGTGGGATCAAATCGGGAAAATATAATATTTCATCCCCTGACTAACATAATGGTCATTGATTAATGATTTAATTGGGTGCTAGGATATTTTCGACGGACCGGAAAATACCAAAATATTCGAAAAGGACAAAATATCTGGAAAGTAACCTCGGACGGAACAAAGTGAACACATTCGTAAACAACCTCGGCCAGAACAAAGTGAACATTAAAATATCTGCATGCGCATGATTTTCCATTTCCATGGACGGATGCGGCTTCCAAAAGCATAAGTTTTTAGCGCGGAAATTTTTGAGACGATAACGAATTGGAAATTGACAGAGCTAGGTAGCATTTTCTCCATTTCGTGTTACATGTAATCAGTGCTTTAATAAAAATCATCTGACTATCGAAACACGCGGAAATTACGGCATAATGTAGCAAAATGGATATAAAAAAAGGTGGATTGCTCTTAAATACCTATTAAGTCACTACAACACTTGGTTACTGTCTCTACTCAATGATCAAACATCAGAGGCATCCAGTGATTTGGCCACCAGTAAACTCACCATTACCATCTCTTGACTGACCTTGCAATCTGAAGAGCAGAACAGATTTTGGCTCACCAATATCCCGAGATAGGCGGACTTGGTCCGATTCCATCGGCAATACCATAACCATATCACAAATCTCAAGTTAAATCTGGTTACATTAGTTATACACAGTGAATATATCAGAAGATGAGTTACAGTCTGCACCTTATTTTGAATAAAGCTGCTATTTTCATCTCTCTACTCTACGCTGCATAGTGATTACAAGAGGATTTCTGCTTCAACAAGAGGACCTGCAACGTGACTTACAAGCTACATCACCACTGACTGACTAATACATCTGACATCAGCCCACGTGAGGACACGGTCAGAAAAGTAATTCTATCGTATTTTATACAGCTGAGTCAGATTCTCCTGGATCAGTTACGAATGCAAAAACCAGCTTTCTGTTCTGCGATCAGTTTTGCCTGCAAATTTTACTTAATCGCTGTCGCTATCAGCATCTACAAAGCTGAAATTTCTGCGTTGATCAAGTTTGATGACCACCATTCCTTGGTTCTCCTCGCTCCATTCAATACCTTCCCTTTCTATGAGTCTAACAACCTACACGTGGCAAATAATATTGTCTTCACACGGATCTAAAATAAGAAAGAGCCCCATCCCAATCAAAATCAGTCTAGACATCAACTAATATTAACTTTACCAACATCAGTAAACTGAATTAAAACAACAGGAAGTTGGGCAGTTTTAAGCTTCTTCTGTGTTTTCCTCCATCCCTTTCCTCGAACCAGTCTTCTGATTGGTGGATTACAAAACGTGAAAATCACCCAAATATCCACCAATCAGAGGCATGGTTAGAGGAAGCTTCCTTCAATCTGGAACGAAAGAAAATACAATCCTTGGTACAGCATTATTTAAGGTGTCAATCCAAATTTCCCGTTTTCCCAATAAGTTCTTAATTTTAGAAGAGGAACAGAGAGATTATATTAGCCTAATTTCGGCTAATCAAGCGAAGCTACTTGACACTCTTCAAAAGCTTATACCAATACATGTCAACAGCACCACCTCAGCCCCACTGACTTATGGTAATTACCTGTACTATCTGCCACCAGAAAATTATTAGAGCTATGCCAGATAGACAAGCACACTTCTAATCAATTCACTTGCTTAAGCTTTCATTAACTTTCCAACAGCATTCTCGAATGGAGTTGTAGAGTCTGATAGAGGAAAGTAATATTAAAGCTGAGAGCTTTTCTTGCTAATGGCATACATGTAATTTTCAAGTTAAAGAAGAGAATAGAGCTTTTTACGGCTGCTATGGCATACATGTAATTTTCATCATCTCTATGGATGCCATAGACTCCTATTATATATTTTGGCAATAACTTTTGTAGTTGTAACCTTGAAACTTGTAACTCTAATACTGATACTGATAGTGAAGAAATCGCCTAGTGCGACACCATGGTTTTTCCCTTTCTAATTTAGAATAGGTTTTCCATTTCTCTATTTTTTCTCTTCAACAGTTCGTGTCCTAACAATTCTTGCATGTGGGTACCCAGGTTTATTACAACCTGTGCAGTCTAATTTGAGAATGAAGAGGCATATCAGGGACGTTTGTAAGTCAATGTTATTGAACAATAAAGATCACCAATTCTAGATCAACGCAGAAAAAGGAACAGTTCATTCAAGTCAGAAGTTAACTCATACCGACTGTTTCAGCTTTGACTTGCCCACACCATGCGACCCACAGCCTGTTATTACCTTGAGTTTCTGTATAGCTAAGAAGAACCAAAAAACGGTACAAGAAATTCTCAGAATTGTTGCAAAAACAAGCCAGGCATACCCAGCCAACTGATCAATAAGCAAAAAGTTTTCACGAGAGATTGAAATTAAGGCAGAGAAATGTCAACATCCAGGAATCAGTAATCTCTTACAGGGCAATAGCAGGTGAAATTTCAAGAGCCTCATTGCTTGTTTGACATGTTGCCCATGCAAATCGATTGTTATCACATTCTCTATGTTCTTGTTTCTGCAGATTATGTGCACCAGTGTCCACACAGAAATTTCAGAAGACAAAATTAAATCTGATACATAAAATCATGCACAATACACTGACCTAGCTCTAAATATCTCCTGGCTTGCCCTCTCTTCTGCCTGTCGACCCATTTTAGAGTACTTCTTCCCCTAAAAGATTCCAATATAAAACTTTGATCATTCATTCAGATTAAAAGAAACGACTGGAAGCAATAGAACAACGTAGAAGCAAATACTTCTGCAAACTATTTCTAAGTTGACACAAAATACATAAAAACTAAGGGAAAGTATCAAAGAGTTCTCTTCAAGATCTTCTGAACACTAGGTTTCGAACTCACAATTAAAGAAAGATGAAAAGTCATATCAAGTACCTGTCCATTCAATTAGCATCAAACTACAACTACCTTCGATTAAGTTACACTGTGCGTATTGGCATCCAATTTTTTTCTACTGCATCTCTCTAACTTAAACTTAGGATTCCATTTTCAATTCTTCTCTTCTTGAGCCTAAGTCCTCATAATGAATGTTACACATGGTGCATTATTTGGCCGTGGGAACTACTTATTCCATTAGGTCACAGTTCTTCCAAAATTTTCAATCAAAATGCTGAAAATTTTTTAAAATCTTTCATTGGATCACTCCATTACCACCAAGACCTTTCTTGCATGACCTGAAACTCTCTTGTCAATTATCCATTATCTTTTCTGACGGATGGATAATGCACTTTATTAATCGAACAAAGAACCAGCAAACAAGCATAACGATTAGGTGAGCACGGTTAGGCGCCATGAATTTTGTGTGCCTTGGGTTCCAAGTTCTGATAGAACATTCACCCCGTTGACCCAAGATCCACATCTGCAAAGGGGGTGGTAAAACCTCCAAGGTTGTTGTACTCCAAGGGTACAGATAGTTAAAAAATCTAAACTAGGATTCAAGTTCCTACCTTCAACTAGAAGTGGCAATATGAATCAGAGACTCATTTTCTAACTCATATACAAAGTAGATATGGGTAAGGCAAAAATTTGTTAAGAATAAAAACACCCATTATATGCAAACTATATGAGTCCCCAGGGCTGGACCCGACTCCCCAATGTTTGCACCCTCCTCGTCCAAATCACCGGCATTAACCAAGTCCTTAACAGCTGGACCCTAAGTCCTTGCTAGCTGGGCCCGGGACCTCAGGGCCTGACTTGGGGCACTGCCAAAGCCGGGCCCAGGAGGGCCTGTTCGGATCTGGGGCTGGACCGCAGGTTGCGCTGGCGAAACCCGGGTCCCAGCACCCATATCCTTGGAAAATAGTTTCTTTAAAGCATAAGAAACCCATACATGTTGGTTATTTGAGTGGGTACGGTTCAGTTATGGTCGGGTTAGGTATGCGTCGCGCAACTTTTATTTGCATGAAAATGGGTAAATATGAGTTAAATGGAATATTTGGGTCTAACCACATAAAACCCATCCCACCCATTTGCCACGCAATACCCTCAACAGACCTATGGGCAGCTCACGAACTTAAATTTTACAACAAATAACATGAGTACGATTAGGTTTTAAACAATTAGCAGTCTAGTATAACATTCCCATCCTCCAAAATGCCTATCACCTCAAACCACAAAAACAAATAACATGCCATTAAAATTCAAGCTAAAAACAGTGGCACTTTCTCAGCATTTCATTTCAATGATTAAATGGCTGAGATCTACAAGTAGAGTTCTGAAATAAAGAAAGTACAGATTCTGTTAGCATAAACAATTCTAAACTAAAGACACACACCTCCTCAGAAAGGACGGCAGCATACCCCTTTGCCCCTTTAGAATAAGCAACTGCAGCCTGCAAATATGTGACCACTCATCAGTCCATTCAGTACGAATCACCCTGTAAATCATGACAGAGTTTCTTATAGCCAGCAAAGATCAAAGTAAAGGTAGCATCTTACCTTTTGATAAGAGGATTTCATCGACTCCCAGTGTTGTTCAGCATCTTTCCTGAGAACAGTGTATTCATCCCCTCTGGCTACAATTCCATAGATATGAAAGTAAATATGGCTTACATACATTTCTCATCTTTAATTTTCCTTGGCTACTTCAACCAAGATGACACAAAAGAGCAATGACTGAAAGAACTACACGACGATTATGAAGATAGGGCCACAATTAAAATGGCTCATCCGATGATTCTTTGAAGTACTTGAGGTTTTCTTTATATCATTTCCTTAAGATCAGATTCTTCATCGACTAGAAGTATATAGTTATGAACTTGAGCAATGGCATTATTTTTGGTTTGGGTCTCACAAGTCATTCTCGGTCAGCTACAAATATACGCAGGCTGTCTATTTTTGGGCTTTTACTTCTTTTTGCTTAATCTAAGTCTTGCGGCCCATGCAACTTTGAAATTTATTTAAATCCAAAACTAACCGAAACTTTCACAACACTCAATTTTAAAATTTGTGGAAAGTAAAAATGTGTTTTTTTGCTTTTGCTCAAGTGTAAACAAACAAGCCCTCACCTTCTTTGGTCTGCATGAGCCATTGAAGAGATTTTAATTCACTCAAATGGTTGAACCAAGAATAATCACATGAAACTGGCCCAAAACCATTTACACTTTTGGACGTGACAACGTATGCAATTGCCAATCAGCCTAATAACTGTTAATATTCTCAGGCAATAGTCATGATATTGGACTAGCCAAAACTCATCCTCAAGTTTTGACAACATTAAGAGATGCCAATTAAGCAAAAAGAAATGGTTTTCTTCCCAAATTAGGCAGATATAAAGTAGAAAAATACCAATAGTTTCCTCATGAGACTCAAGCTCATTTCCAAAAGTGTTCATCTTCTTTGCTACATGCCTCCAGTTCATAGTTCTTGGTTCATGTTGGGGGCTTTTTGATATCTTGTAAAGGCATTCCAACACTTCTTGAGAAACATTAGATTCAATAGATCTACCAGAAGGAACGTCAAAATGATTCCTACAATCATAACAAACACATTTAGGAACATAAATGACCATTTTAAGAAAATTATCCTTGAGGATGCAGATTTCATAAGATTCACATGGAACTAGTAGACCGAAGCATCAATGAAATTTTTCAGTAGCGACATCACATTAGTATGCTCTACGAGAAAACTAAGGAACTAAAGAAAACATATGAACAAATATTTTGAACTATGAATGTCGCTCATGCTTGATGTGGTTTATCAATGTAAGTCGAGAGGAACATAGAATAGTTAAGATAAGTGACATGATGCAACTCGGAGGTCCAAAAAAAGTAAGGAAGAGAGCAATCAATTGGACCAACCCTCCTTAAGTGTTACTATAGGAGTCTCATACCCCCTGGAAAATATCCGCTTTGAGCCATAGCAGATGCCCACAGAGTCTTGACCCTAGAAGGGTCCCCAGAGTTAAGACTTTGAGAATCTGAAGCTGAACTCATCTTTGTAGCCCAACTGGCATCCCATCATGAAGTACTGTTTTGCACGCAGTTGAACTCGTGACAACATGGAAAGACAGTAGCTGCCCTCGCCACTTGGTTACCACGCTCACTTGTGAAATTTACAGCCTTCGAGAGGCATAAGGAGTGAATGTATTCCCCAGTATACTATCTGGAATCCCAAATCACCCATTATAGATCATATTTCTAGATCGACAAGATTTATTTCATCTTGAAGGTTAATCAACATGGAGATTTGTCACCAGAATCTGATTTAATTCGCCTACGAAGTGGTTTATCATTATCACCAATCATTACAAAATTTCTCGAGGAAGTAGCCACATTTATGAGGTAATAAGTTAAGCAAAAAAATCATTTTCCGAATTCCACACTCTTAATACCTTCTGCACAACATACTCACCTCAAGTTCATAATTTATCTAACAACATTCAATCATTAGTCCAGAAGATTGTTGCTGAAATGACAACTTAAATTCTGTGATCTGAAAGTAAAAGAGGAATATGCAAAGTTTGGTATATCCCAAAGATAGGTAATACCTGCACTCACTGCTTATGAACCACGGATTCTCATGAGGTTCACTTTCATATGATTGGGAAGTGCAATCAGATAACCTATCTGCATACTGTAGCGAGATATTAACAGTTACTTTTATACTGTAGATAAGAAAGCAAAAAAAATTGAGAGATTGGACAGATTTGACAAAGTAAGACAACAGAAAAGGCTAAAGAAGATTTACAGCAAAATGTAAACAAAGCATATCAGCAAAAAGCTTGCTTATTCAAAAGCTAATCAGATAATTCTTAGTTTCTCCAGAGCTTAAGATCCTTTGAATCAAAGCACGAACTTATATATGAGCGAGAGGAACTATGCATCCATATGTATACATTGGCCTTTGCCAAAATAAGTCTAGCAAAAGTTGGGCCAAAATATTATAGCATCAAATCTAATGCTTAGAGCTCTATATAGGAAAAGTTACACCCCACTCTGCCTGCATAACTTAAGTTACAGAGAAAAGACAGGATACAACAGCAAAGCAGAATTGCCACACAGTGCATGAGAAGCATTTGTATTCAGTAAATAGAAGTGAGGAGGACAAGCCCCAAGAATAATCCAATTCAAATAAAAGTGATCAGCTGAAAATTTAGAACAAGCTGCATTCACATAGAGCACAAACCAAACATTTCCGTCAAAAAAATATCCGGGGAGAAAAAGAGGAGCAATAAAGATTTCGACCTATAAACGACATAAAAGAAAAAATAACATTGCTCACATTTTCACTGCATTCTAAGGAAGATCTTGTATCTTCTCTACTTTCTACATCAGTAACCAAGTTTATACAGTTCCTTGACTGCTCACATGAGGAAGCAGAGAGATCGAGTAATACATCCAAAGCCTGACAAACACCAACGAGACAAGCAGACATCAGTACCAAATGTTTGAAGATATTAGTTACTTGGTTCCATAAGCGAATGAAGCAACGGGGTATCGAGAACTGTAGAATCTCAGAAAAGGGTCCCACCACCAGACAAAGCTCCCACTACCAGACAGATAAGCACATGGGTGGGTCTAACAAAGATGACATCCAAGTCTGAGAGGATTACCAAATAAAACCAGAATATATTGTTTCATCGAGCATATTTATACATGTTGCAATTTAGATGAAGATCCTTATAAAAAAAAATAAAGGGATAAGTGCACTAAAAGTCTTAAAAATTGTCGCTAAAGTGCGATTAAGTACTATAACTTTCAAAAAGTGCAACCAAATCCTTCCGTTAACACCATCAATTTGGTTAACAGAAAATGCTGACATTTTTTTATTATTTTCTCTCTCCTACGTGGCCTTAAAGTACGGCAAGGCACTTCACCGGCGAGGGCCCTATTGTTCTTTCTTTCTTTTTCAATTTGGGTTTTTTATTTACCCTTTTTATTTTTTTAATCCAACTTAAGTAAGATTTGGAAAAATAATAATAATAAATGCCACATAGGAGAGAGAAAATAATAAACATGCCACGTCAATATTTTCTATTAGCCAAACTGACCGTGTTAACGAAAGGACTTGATTGCACCAATTTAACAAGTTTTAAAATTTGATTGCACTTTTTGAAAGTTTTAGGACTCAATCGCACTTTTTGCGACCAGTTTTAGGACTCAATCGAGCATGTTTATACATGTAGCAGATTAAATGAATATCCTTATAAAAAAAAAATGAAGACCAAGTTCTGCATGAATATCGACATAAATCCGAATGTTGCGGTTGACAGACCAACAAGAAAACAGATATATATAACTAAGAAGCAAGAAAGGACATCATATCTGTTATTTCAGTCAAATTGTTCATAATACCTTCCCAACATTGTATCCACACTGACCTGAAAAGAAAAAAATTTTAAAGTCAAAAGTAGACATACAACAATAATCTTCATGCATATAAAAGGAACGTTAAAATAATCCAAACATATAGTCCCATCTCAATTCACGGAGATCAAAAGCACCCGTTAAGCCCAGAACATTAGAAGGATATCAAAGACAGGGGCACAACAGTTTAATAGAGAAAACAGAGTCAAAATGTCTAAAAGGTGCCATCACCAGCTTGATGTAGACTTGAATTTCACTAAGAAAGATGATATGATTTAAAAACTTTGGAACACAAACAAGTTGCGTTGCAAATGTCAAGGAGGCAGGGGATACTAGCCGTGATGTGGCTACAGCTATAATGGATGTACCTTGTCTGCAACCACTAATTGTGACCTAAAACATGAATGATAAACATGACTTTAACTTCTGGTCCCATGTTCTCATTATAGTATGAATTTGGGTTAGATTAGCTTATTTTTAGTTAAAAAAGGCATGTCTAATCTCTGCACTTGATTTGACCAATAATGTACTTTTAGTGATAGAGATGATGAAGAAACTGAACCAGCTAAATATCATCTAAACGCATCGATATTTAAAGGGCCACATACAACATTACTGATCAGATCTTCTCTTTGCTTATCCATCTCAGCCAAAACTCAGTTATCAAGACCAGAAATAAATTCTCCTCCTTTAAACTCTCCATAAAATTGCAAAAGTAACTGTTTCCCGACTATGCCATACCAATCAGCATCAACATGATCTACAGCCAGTTGTTTCATATCAATTCGTAATCATATAACTCTACTGTTCAATCACCATAAGCTAGGGAAACTGATCACTTCCTAGTTATAATTTCATTTGTACTTCCTAACTCCCTTCCCTAAAAATTCATTTGTTTAGTCTTTAGGGAGCTGACAACCCCATAAGCTAATCAGAAACCACAACTCAATGACAGAAAATGTTATCGGACTTTCACACCTCAGAACACATAAGTAACTGCACAAATGCTCGCAAAGTCGCTTACAGAGCACATCTCTAACAACGGCCAAGCTCAGCTCGCTTTCTTCTCCAAGCATTGCGCAAAGAAATTGCTCCGTCTCCTCCTCTTTACCATAAACAATCCCCCCATTCAAAAATCCATTCAACCGAGCCGAATCTCTCGCTGAACTGACCTTCAGATACTCCTTCCCCAGGACCGTCGACACCGTCCCCGTCGCGGCCACCAGTTTCTTCGCCTTATTACCCCTGACCCGCTTCTCTCTCAGCGCGTCCTGCATAAAATTAGCCTCCACATATCCCTCGCTCGAACCGGAGACGGAGCTCGAAGCAAACCCCGACTCCGAGGCCGATGCCCCGCTCGAATTCGAGCTCGTGGACGGCTCCTCCGCACCGTCCAACAGACCAACCCGCAGAATCTCGACGGCTCGATTAGGGTTGCCATCCGCTTCCCTAAAAGCCGCAGCCGCCTCGTCAACCGAAATCGAACCGAAAGCTTCGACTAAGGCGCTGATGATGATCCGCGTCTGTTCGTCCTCTCCCGCCGGCGCCGGCCGCGCATCGCCGAAAGGGCCGGCGGCGACCAGCCTTTGGGCTTCCGACCCATGATGCCTCTGCTTCCTCTTCTTCCTCTTCTTGGTCTTCTGATTCATTGTCTAAAAGAACACGCGAAAAAGGGAAGATCTTTCCGATGTGGGTGTGCAGCAATTCCGATCCAGAAGGCGACAATCCAAGGGACGCGGATTTGAGCGGCGGGATTTCGATTTGTGGGGGGGGGGGGGGGGGAAGAGGCTCGAACGACGACAGGGTTAAGTCACATTCTTTTCGGACAGGAGGAAGAAACCAAGAAACCTGTGAATTCCTCAATGTTCGGTTGGCCCCGGAAGGAAAGAGACAACGGAAAAGGGGCAAAAAAAAAGGTGGGAAAGATTCGATTTTTCTCAAGTGGGCAGATGAATGAATGGGTGGTAAAGGAAGAGGAAAGGAAAGGAGAGGAGGAGGAAGGAAAGGCCTTTTCTTTCTTGTCCTTTTTCTTCTGCGGAGAGTGTCAAATCATATCTTAGGTTTGTGCACCGTGGATGCTGCCCCAGTCGTCCGTGGAAGAATCTCAATCCTCCGAATTGGCTGGAGTTTCTCTTGTTTGTTTAGGAGTTAAGAAAGAGGAGATGGAGGTCGCAAAATCGGTCCAAAAGCCCGTTTTTAAATCTATAATTGATGGGTTGACATTTCAGGGGGAGGTTATAAATGGACTGTCTTGAAAGTTAAAAACAGAATCAAATTGTCTCGATAAATAAATGTCTAATTACATAAGGGTCTTCATGAATTAAGCATGTACCTATTTTGGAACCCGTTTGTATTGCAGCCCCACTTCGTGACTTGGCTTTCCACGTCCTCTTCCTCAGTCATATTTGTACGCCCTGTGGTATCAAAAAGTAAGGATAAAGACGACACAAGTCCCGGGAGTTCATTTTAATGTCATGACTTTTTTTTCGATTATATTTGTGTCATAACTTATGAACAACGTTCATTTGAGTGGCATAAATTTTGTTTTGATCACTTGAATGTTGTAATTTCTTTAAAAACGTTCACCACCAGTATTATGTCGCGTCGAATTTTTAGTACTTGGTTTACATTTTTAATAAATTATGGCATCGCAGTGATCGATTGAAAGTTATGGTGTTTAAGTAAATGTTTATTTAAAAGTCACGACATTAAAGTAGCAAAAGAAAAATTATAACACTCAAGAAAACGCTGTACGAAAGTTATAACACTTGTAAGGTTAGGGATATAGAAAATATGAGTTCTTTGTGGTTTATTCTAGAACATTAGCTGTGGGTTTGGATAAAAGAATTACCAAATGATGTGGTTGAAATTTCGTCCTTGATTTGAGCTGGTCACCTCACAATAAGTTTAGTGCTCAAGTGCGATATCGAGAGGTCGAGCTTGTGACCTTGTTGGACCATGTTGCGCTTGAGCACGATACACACGCACAACGAACAAACGCACTCAAATGTGCCCGTGCAGACCAATTTCAGAGATGGAGGTGATGGTTTGGCAACAGATGATGGCTTGGCTTAGCCATAACAACGATTCGCTAGTAATGACGACTCTTCAATGGCCACGAGTGAGGTTCAGGTGTTCAATGGTAGATCTGAAGCAAGACGATGATGATTCATTTTTTCTTTTTGACTTTTTCATATTTTATGTTATTTTGTCAAATAAGGTTTAGGTACGCTTTCTTAAATAGGGAAACAAAAACGATCCTTTTAATTTTCTTATGTGCATTAAAGGATCATTTTGTAAAATAAGTAAAAGCAGAACGCCCTTTTAAAGACAAAATTATATCAATTCTCTAGAACCAAGAGATGTGCACTAATAGTTTGGTTCGTCACTTTTTTTATTATCTTTTATTTGCTAATTTTTTTCGTGTTTAATTTGGTTTTGATTGATTAGCTTTTTTCATTATGCTATTTTCCATATTTAAAAGGAGAAATAGTAAGGATTTGGAACTTAGGTAAGGTAAGGTCGAGTCAGGTACGAGTCGCTAATATTGCATCGCATAAAAATTGATCAATTTGAGTCAAACCATTTTCGATCCAACCAAAACCCAACTCGATTCACTCATTTGAAGTGCCTCAGTATAAATTAGTCTTGGGCAAAAGCTACCGAAAATCCTAAATTATGTTCATCGTGATACATTTATCTTAAACTTTTTTCCATAACACCAAAAATCCCAAACTTGTACCCGTGTGACACATCTACCCTCCATTAAAATTCTATCAATGAGAATCGTTTAAAATTTGCCTACATGGACGCTGAAAAGCAAATAGTGCTAACATGGCGCGTGGGCGCCATATTTTGTGACATAAAAAACCTAAATGTGTTAACAGTGACACATTTATATTAAACTTTTTTATGACATCAAAAACCCCAAATTATGCCTATGGTGACACATTTACCCTATACTTTTTTTAACATAAAAAACCCCTCAAACTTGTACCTATGTGATATATTTACCTTCCGTAAATGTTTCGTTAAATGATTTTCAGTCAAAACAATGGATGTTATGTCAACAATATTTGCTTTTTAGCGTCAATGAATGCATATTTTTAACTAGTTTTATTGACAGAACTTTGAATGAAGACAAATGTGTCACACATGTACAAGTTTTGAGGTTTTTGTGTCACATAAAAAAGTTTATGGTAAATATGTCACGGTGGACAAAGTTTAGAGTTTTTGGTGGTTTTGCCAAAATATAAATAACGGTTTACTTTCTATTATTTTTCCTATCTCCATAATATTATGCACCAACTTCTCCATTTAGACCAAAATTGCTAAAGGTAAATTATGGTTCTCTCTCAACTCTCTTTTTTTGGGAAAAACAAAGATAATTGATACTTTCTTGTCTATTTTTTGTTTTACGAATTTTCAATATAACGTCGTTATAATCCAATCACAACAACATGATCACTTACTTAGTCAGGTCCACCCATCACGAAGAAAATAAATATACAACAAAATTATGTGAGATGGACAGGCTCGATTCGGGCTCTCAACCGGGTCGAGTCGACCCTTCCTTGTACTCGAGAGTTCGGGCTTCAGGCCCGTAATCAGGTCTACGTACAACCATCCTCTCCTTCCCAAAAGCCATTGTTGCGTGCATTTGGTGAACGTGAACCGTGCACAAGCCCAGTCGAAACCAAAGGCTATGGTTGCAGATCACATGCATGCCATGTACCAAAGTATATCCTCCCAAACAGTGTTAATTCTCGCAAGGGAAGTAGGTAGGTGAACGGTGATGACTCCGTCAGTCTTAAATGATGAGCCGATGGTGACTGGTTTCCTCTGAGCTTTTCCAGTTTCTGCTCTCTCTTACTTCTGTCTTCGCGCTTCTAATTAATGCCTGTCAACGCAATAGAAAGCAATCTCATGCAAAGGTGGTGAGCTTCATTTACTGCCATTGCCAAGCCCCCAACTCACGCCGTCCAAATCCCAAAGAGCAAACGCCTTCGCACTCAACCTGCACGTCCAACTCATGCTAAAGAGAGAAGCAACTGAACGTATAACTGCCAAAAAAGAAAACATCTTGGAAATTTCAAGGAAGCTGCTCTCAAAGGTACAATCTGTCGATGCGTATGATGATCCAAGTCAAACTGGTATTAAAACCCACGTCACGTATCTCGTGTAACTTACAATTATCCGACACACTTCCTGTATCGTGATTATACCCTCGTCGTACTTGTAGAACGAGTCTATACAAGGTTCTCTTTCCTGTCGTCTTATATATATAACCTCCGTACGGTCATACACAGCAGAGAAAAAAAACACAAGTTTGCTTGTTTTCTCTCGTACAAGCTTTATCACTTGAAGCTTGTGTGCTCCGTACTGAATCTACTGACTGCCATGGATTCTTTTCAACAGGATGAGGGTCTGGACTTCGAAAACGGCGATGGATGCGTGGACAATGAGATTACGATCGTCATACCACAAACACGGCGCACCATTTCTCCTCCTCCTCCTCCTCCTCCTCCTCGTTCTTCTTCAGTTCTTCCCAAGGATTCCTATCGAAAGCTGCTTGATTCGGGCGGTCGCCTGCCGGTGTTGAGACGAGTCCTGAATGACCTACAAGTTCTCTCGGGCACAAAACTTGCTTTGCTCTTCCCAGCAATTCCCTTAGCGATTATCGCGAATTTTTTCGACTTTGGAAGAGTGAGTAGTAAAGTATAAATGCCTACCGCAAATGGATCAAATATTAGTGGTTTAGCGAACATTGTTCCTTTCCTAGATGATAAATGTTTTTCTTAACATAAGAGCAATTTAATGTTGGCTTTGAGTATTGATGATGATCGTGATTTTGCTGGCTATACAAAAGGCATGGATCTTCGTCTTGAGTTTGCTGGGGCTTACCCCACTCGCCGAACGTATCAGCTTCTTGACCGAGTATGCTGCTACAACCCTAATGGTTTACTGTTTTACAATATAACAGTTTGGCTAATTAACTCTCTCACCTTTTTTTTCTCCTGTCTCGGTTCCTTGCGTTTGCGAGCTAGGCAAATTGCATACTTCACTGGTCCGACAGGTAAATGAATTCCTGGAAACATTTTATTGAACATATTCACACTGTCGAAAAGTTTCTTTCTGCGTGTTTTGTGGTCTTTAAATCAAGACATGTTTATGTTTCTGAATTTAGACCACCTACCAGCAGACAGGCATGTTTTCTGATTACGGAATCACTTGTTGAAAAAGTAACTTTTCAGATTTCGCCAGGCCAAATGGTTAACTGATTACTGAGGAAACAACTGTCTGTTTGTTTCATAGTTTAGAGTGAATTTGATTTTCCTTCTCCCATTTCGCAGTTGGAGGGCTTATGAATGCAACGTGTGGGAATGCAACAGAGCTTATCATAGCCATATTCGCCCTAAGGCAGAACAAAGTACAAGTACTGAAGTACTCGCTCCTGGGTTCGATCCTCTCCAACCTCCTCCTCGTTCTCGGGACCTCTCTCATCAGTGGAGGATTGGCCAACCTCTCCAAGGATCAAACTTTTGACAGAGTAATTAAACTCGACTAAACAAGACTGATCGCATATTGGATTATGTTAAGTTCACTGTCAGTCATTGTTGGTTTATTGACACAAGCGCATGACATCATGAAACTTGGTGCTTCATGGATCCAACAGTGATTAGCATGTCTTTTAAGTGTTGCAAGTGGTTCCCTTTCCAATTGCAACTATCGGTTATTGATGACTAATTGTTGATCACCTCCTACAGAAACAAGCTGACATCAACTTGATGCTTCTACTGTTGGGACTACTGTGTCAGATGTTGCCTTCGTTATTTAGATATGGCGGTGGGGGCGGATCTGATTATTGGGCACATCAAAGCCTTCGATTCTCAAGAGCCAGTAGCATGATTATGCTTTTAGCATACGTCGCCTACATAATTTTCCAGTTGAAAACGCACAGGCAATTGTTTGAGTCCCAAGATCAGGTGCAGTTGAATAGCGCACACACCATTCCTTGACAAATAAAGCCCCCCCGCCCGTTTATTCTATCTACTTATTTCACTTTTTTATGGCAATGAGCAGGAGGACGAGGGGAATGAAGGAAAGGCAGCAATAGGATTCTGGAGTGCATTTGGCTGGCTGATTGTTATGACGACGATCATGGCATTGTTGTCCGAGTATGTCGTTGGTACAATTGAGGTATGGTAATCTCTTAAGACAACACTACCAAGTATAGCTCCTTTTAGAGTTAATTCAATATGTTTAAAGCTAATCACAGCATGTCTATATTGCTATCTTTTCTTGGGCTAACGGAATACCGTCTTAGCAATGAATTCTAATCTAAAAGAATAAGTCTCAAGTCCACGTGAAATTTTTGGTGAATCGAGCAAATGTGATTCCTAACCTCAACTACTGCAACTCAATTTCCGGACCACCTTCTAGGCGGCATCAAGCTCTTGGGGCATTTCGATCAGCTTCATCAGCATTATTGTTTTGCCAATTGTGGGTAACGCTGCAGAACATGCTGCCTCTGTTATATTCGCGCTCAAGAACGAGTTGGTAATATGGACGAAGGTCACTGTTTCATCTTTGCTTGGAGTGTGCATCACGTGTGGCTGACTCGTTCGCTTCTGACCTTTTGCTCAGGACATTTCCTTGGGTGTAGCTATAGGATCGACGACTCAAATTTCTATATTTCTGGTAAGTCTGAACAATTAAATGGAAATCAACGCCATGGCACATTCGGTATTTATGGGGAATTTTGTTGGAAACAAAAATTGCAGGTTCCTTTATGCGTTGAAATTTCTTGGATTATGGGTGGTCATATGGACCTAGATTTTGATCTCCTCGAAACTGTTTCGATTGCCTTTGCGATAATAATCACGGCCTTCGCTCTACAGGTTTGTCATGCTTGTACTCTGGTATCTTCTACAGATAATCAATTGACTGCTGTTAGTGTCCCCGCTTTCAGAGATAGTGGAGTAACATGTATTCTACACTTTCATCTGCAGGATGGAACTTCGCATTACATGAAAGGGTTGGCTCTGTGTCTAAGCTACGTCATCATCGCTGCATGCTTTTTTTTCTGCGGCACCTTGTCCTCATCCCCTCCGTTCCTATCTGAAGTATGAAGCTAATGAATATCAAGTTCGATCCCTCGACTTAACCTAATACTGAGAAAAAAGGCCTTTATGGATTCCTGATATACACTGAATAGCTGTTTGCCGCTTTGTAATTGGAGATTGGTGAAGTACTTTAGTATACTAGTGAAGCATACTTGCAGCCTTACATAGATTTGCCACCAGGAAAATTCAGTTGGCATCTAAACCATCCTCATCTGAAGCACCTTTAGAAGGTTGTGCCCATTTTGATGGTGAAAGACCTTCGGACAAGTCAGACGCTGGGCGGACTAGCACGAGGACGAGCTCACAAAAGTCGAGTAAGCTACCTCAGGAAAGAAGTGATTTAAAGCTGAACAAACCTCGGATATCTTTGATTATGTATAGCCTGTATACTCTGAACTACCAACTCTATGTAAGTTGCACTTGTTGCCCTGCCAGAGCTAGCAGACGTTTTATAAATGTTATCTCGTTATCGTTTACTTGTTTCTCTCGACACGCAGTCGAGAGATGTCCCTCAAAAATTCATTCTGGTGTGGCCTCGTGGCAATGCAAGCCTCTCGCAGGGCCATATCATCCTCTAACCTCTCTGCAGTGATCAAGAGCAAAAAACAATTGCACAGATGGCCGATTTCAATAATTTTCATCTTTAAAAGCAAGGAGTCGTTATCTATTATGTGCAGGAGGACCAAATGAGAGCAACCGATCAATGGGTTAATATGAGTATCTTGTATCATATTGTCTAAATCAGGAGCACTATCCTTTACAGAAATCAGCAGCTATACTTTGAAAATCCTAGAGAAAGCTTAGCTAAAAATTACTTCACCGATAGCTCTCTCTGAAACCAGTTTAACAGAACAAGAGCAAGCAGGATCATGTGTTTTAGATATTACAACCAGATCAAGAATGATCTACAAATGGATTCCAAGCTAATAATAGTGTCATACAGCATTAAGAAATTGCTGCATGGATGTGCTGCCTCCGGAAGTAAAGCATAGCATGCGTAACGAGGCAGGACAAACAGCAAAACGGAGGCTACTATTGTAAAGGTGTCAAGAAAGCCAGAGTATCATGGCTTTCACGAAAGGACTCTCCATTCTGCTCGTCATTACTTTCTCATTTCATCTTCTCTGGAAGTTGAGGACTTTGGCGGAGAAGGCAAAGACAGCAAAGAAGAAAAGGTTGAAGCCAACAAGCACGGCCACTGACACTCCAATCATGCCGCCGCCATAGCCAAGACTAACCTCCAGATACTCTTTCACACTGCCCTTGAAAGAAGGTCCAACAATCTGAGTGTCCACATCCCCAAGCTGAGAGGTGATGACGCCACGAAGCGTCCATGCAACTGGGCAGATGTAGTAGAACCATATCCACCAACCCGGGATATTCTGCAATTAGTGCACAAACTGGATCACTAAAACTTGGCAACTTAATTTCTTAGGATAGGACGAAGCACTCTCCTTCCAGCAGTGAGGAAGTAAGTGCTCCAGTGTCAGACCTCACATCCAAATGTAAGTGAGATTGAAATCCAGATTTACTTTTCATCAATAGGTACCCAGATTTCAATTTGCTGCATGAACATATTTTTAGGAGCATCTTGTAATCCCTTATCTTACCAGTACAGTCTATGCTACTAATGGCATCGAATGCTAATTCAGAAAGTGACAGGATCAACCTTGTCACATTATATGCACAGAGAGAGAGAGAGAGAGAGAGAGAGAGCAATTCTCATGGGTGCTTCAATACTAGTCTTTGCAGTAAACAGAAAAAGATAATGGCGTGCTCGTTCCAGTTTACTCCATCACTCATCAGGTTAATCTAAAGGTTTCGTCATGTTCATTCTAGAGTTGTTTCCTAATAACTGGCAGGAAATGCACCATGGAGGGCAACGCAATCAACCCAAAATCAGAAATCTGAGAGACAACATATGTAAGGAGTTTCCGACAGGAAATAGTTAACTCACCGGTTTCGGGATAAGAAATCCTGACAGAAGATTCCATAGAGAGTAAAAGGCTGAAGATATGACAGCTGCCAAATGCTGTGAAGGAGTGAGACCAACAGCCATCATGCCGTAAAAGGTAAAGTAGGTGAAGGTAAGAAACATGAACACAAGAAAAAGCAAGAACTTTCCTGCAACAAAAAGTGCTGGTGGGTTAACCACTAATTTTCAGGCTCAAAGTAGATTAGAAAATTCTAGAAGATCAGAAGTTTCTCACTTGCTGTCCTCTCGAAGTTAACCATGAAATATGTGATGACTCCATATATTATGGTTTGCACAGCCACGTACGGAATCTCCACGAGGCCCTGGACCAAAGAAGTTAAAGTTAATATTTTCCACTCACTAATTTTTACAAATCAACCTCTTTCAGCATCAAAAACTTACCTGGGCTGCGGCATAGGACAATGGGGAGTACATTCCAGCTGCTTTCTCTCGATAGAACACCGTCCTCTCTATGGAAACAATTGGTTGTACAGAAGAGGCATTGTTGACACCAAGAAACAAGCATGATGCATATAGAGCTCCCATAACCATGAAAAGGTCTTGAGGTGACTCTCTGCATAATGTTTAGTTTGAAATGTATTTTACGATATATTTAGAGGACACTGCTAGAAATATGTCTATATTTAACAAAAAAGACAGGAGCTCTTGTAGTAGTATTGGATTCAAGAATTAGACTAGACTACTAGAGACAGAAGAATCAAGAAAAGCTGAATTCCACCTGGACGACTCATCTTGAATTTCTAAATTCCACGATGTGTTCTCATCTTGTTTGTCAGAATAGTTCACCACCATTTAATCAATTAGTTCAGACGCAAATAGAGACTCAGTTTTCATTAATCCAGAACATGGCCACATGCATCTAAGATTTCTGTAGTTGAGTCCAGAGCAAGCAAATTGCATATACGAAGAACACATTTCTGAACTCATCATATGGTAAATGAAATTCCAGCATTTGAATTTTGACGACCAAAATGCAAAAATATTAGTGATGCCAAATGAGAAATTGTTATCCAAATCCAAGCAACAAACCTAAATCTACTTTTTTGTCAACTTCATTAAGATGAAAGCTGCCAAACATCTTGGGTTCTGACCACCAAAAGGCACATCCAAAAGAACAATAAATTTTTGTGCTTCCATGGTAGAAGGTTTTTATTTCTTATCTGGACAGTTCCCAGCTAATGTATCTTCATTCTGAAGGACAACAATCTTACTTTAACTTCTGTTTTCTTAGGATCCGTCAGCATTAGAGGGCAGGACTTGAGACACAGAAAGTTATTTTATTAATTAATAATCTATGGCAAAAGTAAATGTCTTTCCCGAAAGCATCCTAAGACAAGAAAATAAGACTGGCCTTGAGAAGTCCATGTAGATTTTACCTCTTTGAGCCGATATCCCAAAAGACAGAGCCAAATATCAGTGCGCTTAATGTAGTGAAAAAAATCCTCACTGCATTGTACTGTGGACTTCTCCAGTAGACAAGATTTTGTTTCCAAAGACAAATAAAAAATTGAGAGAGTTGGTCCTGTGAATACATGGTGTCAAATTTTAAAGGCTTTGAGCCAGCAGGTGGGACACTTAAGCGTTCAATTGTAGCTTCCACCTCCCTGGAACAAAATGGAGAAAAGTTAGCAATCGATAATTGTGGAAGGAGGAGATAAACTGAAAAAATGTGGGACGAACGTCGGCCACAAATTTCTGCCCACATAGCTAAAGCGATATCAAATTAGATTACCTGAACTTATCCGAATTTCTGTAAATATCTGCAAAATCAGCACCAATCTTCTGTTCAGCTGCCGGTGTAGTAACCTCAAGCATCCAAGTTGCAGGATTATAACCACTTGGGATTGGAGTAATTCCATTGATGCCCTGCATCAAGGAATAGAATGTTGACTGAAACCTTAGCATCACATCAAACATAGTACATTACCCCATTTAGCCCCACTCCCTTTCTCTGAGCCCCTCTGTACAAGAAAAAGAACTGTTTTGGGCTAGGGAAAACAATTAAAAGCACAAACCAACTATCTAACACTGCATGAAGCAGCAGCTGCTACAAATTTAACAAGAAGAGAGCAACGGCAAACCCAAAAATTTCAGCATTCGAAACTGTTGTAAAATTCAACCCAAAAGTTTAAATTATTAGATGGAAAAAAAAAATATGTACACCAATTCCCGTTGAAACCCCATACTTAAGCGATGTTGAATATACATCGACTCCCCCTATCACGCACAAGTCATGACTAAGGATTGCAGAGTAATTGTCTCACTCATGGAATAGAAGAATGGGGAATCATTTAAATGAGAAACTATTAGGAAATCCTACCTAAAATACTAAGCTAAGGTGGAGGGAGACTGCATGAATGTAAGACTCGCATAAACCTCAAAGACAAGTGACTAAAAACATGGAATTAATGGATGGGGGTCACACACGCTAAATTAACCTTGGACAAAATGCAGCTCTACCATATTAGAAAGTCAAACTCCAAAAGGTTAAACTAATAGGTAAGATAAGACTAGATGAACAAAAGGCTTTTATCAATCCCGTAAACAAGCAATGTGGGATAATTTTAATGAAAATCCATACACAGTATCCAATATTAAATGGGGGAAAGGATGTGAGAACTTGCTTTATACCACCAACCTAAAACCTTAAGCTATTAGGTGGAGGGAGGAGACAAAGTCCCACTGAAACCTCATATATAAACATTATAGAATATACTTCAACATACAGGTAGATGGAAAATGAACCATAAGGAGCAAGACAAAAAACTTTACCTGAAAATAGTCTATTAGGATCTGTGAATTTGTTCCAAGCTTGCCTCCATATATTACACATCCTCCACGTTTCATGAGAAGCAACTGTGATGAAATAAAATAAGAAGCTACACCAATGTAAAGATCTGGCACATTAAAATAGTGTTGAATAGGGCAAATAATTGTTCGTCCTTCTAACCTCATCGAATGCTTCGAATATGTCAATACTTGGCTGGTGAATCGTACAAACCACAGTTCTTCCTGTATCAACAGTATTACGAACAGTTCTCATCACAATAGCTGCTGCTCGAGCATCAAGACCAGAAGTAGGTTCATCCATAAAGATAATAGAAGGATTTGCAACTAGCTCAACTGCAATGGTTAACCGTTTCCTTTGTTCCGTTGATAAACCTGAGCTACCGGGTAGACCAACCAGAGCATGCCTAAGCGAATCAAGCTCAACTAATTTCATTACCTCTTCGACAAACTCCTGCAACACAAGAGATCTTGTCAACAATGAGACAAACTCGATCCAACCATCGTTTTTAAATTTATAAACTTAATCTCTGGATATTCACCCGTTTTTTTTCTTTGCTGACTTCTTTTGGGAGGCGGAGACTGGCAGAAAACCAGAGAGACTCCTCGACTGTCACTTGGGGAGAATGTATATCATTTTGTTCTACATACCCAGAAACTCTAGCAAAAGTATGCTGCTGTTTTAAGTGACCTGATATCCTGATTTCACCTTCAATATATCCGCCTGTTTTCCTTCCAGCAAGAACATCCATTAAAGTAGTCTTACCAGCTCCACTCGACCCAACCAATGCAGTGAGTACTCCTGGAGAGAATACTCCACTAACTTTCGACAAAAGCTGTAGTTTACTTTCTGGTATCCCTTGTGAACGCATAGCCTGTCAATTTTTAGTGATATGTTTTACCGCATTACACTTTATCATGTAGAAACTGGACACAAATTAAAGCATTCAAAATTACCTAAAAAGAATTAATGCATTTGAAATCACACCTTTGGCATATCAACAAAGTAATTGACATCATGGAAAGTCATTGTTAATGGCTGAAATGGAAGAATCATGCCCTTCTTGTTACCCTCCCCAGGGGACGTTGGATTTGATTTTGATTGTGTACTGTCCCCTGCACACAGGTTTGGCAACATTACTATACCAAAGTACAGTACAACATTGATGAGGGAAGATAAGGAGAATTCATCAAAACACAATACGCATCCCTCTGTTATGAAGATAATATACTTTTACTAACCAATGCCCTGGCTGGAATTTTCTTCAGTTTCATCCACGGGAATCACACTCTGCGCTGTTATGATAGCTGTAAAAGGAAAAGGAATATCCTCATTAAGCACATACTAGCTAGATCTTGAAAGTACCCAAAGAAGATACCTAGATAGCGAGCAAGTCATTCCTGAATTTTCATAGATGGCAATGGAAAGATTAACCGACTTACGATTTAGGTAAGCCAACGCTAAAGTCACAATATTGTTGAAGAGCAGTGCATAAAGCAATAAAACCCCAACTCCAATCCAATACCAATGACCACTAGATGGTAAGCTATGTGACTGAAGTACGTTGTAGCCAACTGAATTGTTCCCATGGGCAGATTTCTGTGGATTAACAGTTGTCAGGAGGATTTTAATATTGAGACAAAGAACTTGTGAACAGCACCCTCAAGTGACATACCTCTGTCCATCTTGTGGCAGTAAATTCGTTAACTGAGATAGCGCGTTGCCCATAGGATAGTGGGGACAACCAGAAACCCCAGACCCACCACGGCTTGATCATGGCTGAAAGAAGGGCCACAAAATCAGTAATCCAATGACATTCTACTTGCTTCATGCCATCCAAGGCACGCTTTTCTTGTAAAAGAAGGACCGAACTTACACTTTGGAATAATAAATCCACCCAGTAAGAATATAACTAGCAAGGCAGCAGACCCAAATGTATTTGCAATGACCATGTCCCGAGCTATTGAAGCCATCATACGAAAGAGACCCAATGCCATTTGGTGCACTGCAAAGAGCAATAGCATAAACCGGAAAAACCTGAAACAATAAAAAATAGCTGTGAGAAAAATTTTTAGTATTAGGAGAACCTACTAGAAGAATATTGAGTGGAAAAACATGCCTCCCAGCGCCAGGAGCAAATCCAACAGTGTAGTATACTACACAAGACCACACAACGGCCTCGATAATAGAGTAAGGGACACGTAGAATCCAGCTGGAAATAGACCATGCCCATGCTGGATAGAAGAAATTATCCCTTTGCTTGTAGAATACAGGTAGCCGAGATATTGTTATCGGTAGCTCAGAAAATCCATTAAACATCATGTGTATTAGCCCAAAGAAAAGACAGGATAGGTAGAGGTTGCCATTTGTCTCATCGGTGGGGTGTAGTCTTGTCCGTAAGAAAATTGTGCAGGTTACTAGTCCAACACAAGCAACCTTTAATATATGCAAAAGAAAGAGTGAAAATATAACTGACATAAACCACAGAGATAATTGTTTACAAGTTCCAGATATATATTGCGCTTAAATTCAGGGAGAGTAAAGAAGAAAGCACCAGAGTTGTAGCACAATAATTTTGGATAATGGAGTGATACTGAGACCTCATGTTATAGTTCACATGACATGAATGAGTGAACTATCTCATAGACCTAATGCAGTTGAAGTTACAATAACAGTGGTGAGAACTGTGTACTCAAAATACAGCTATACCTGACAGGTCCTAAAAATATACAGAAAGCGATGTCTGCTGATAAGCAGCACTTCCCGGGCAAAGCATGTTTTGAACAGCTCCCATCTTGAGACAGCAAAATTCGTTTTGGACAAAGCATTAGGACGGCTGTTGGATTGAACATTTGAAGCCGCAACGACAGACTCGACAGAGCTACCGAATCTGGACTTTTTAAATGCTTCTGCAATTTGGGAGACAGGTAGAAACTGGTATGATCTAGATGGATCCGCCCAATACTGAGCTTGATCCTTTCTCGAAGTGACCTGGTGATAAGAAAAGTTAGTGAAAGTCTAGGAAGACAAGAAAGTAATGTTATCATGGGAAGTACCTCTTGGAGAAAATCCGCAATTCCCTTACGTGGTGGCAAACGAAAACCTAATGAGTCGAAAAATTCTAACACGTCCGACCGAGGTCCTTGATACACAACATGTCCTTCTGACAGTAGCACCAAGTCATCAAACAAGTCAAATGTCTCCGGTGCAGGCTGAAGAAGAGCCATTAGGACAGTTGCATCCATTAAATGAACGAAATTCCTAACACATTTAACGATTTGGTACGTCGTAGAGCTATCTAGCCCTGTGGATATTTCATCCATAAATAAAGTCTTCCTAGGTCCGACGATCATCTCTCCTGCATTAGAGATACAACAAGCATTAATTTGGTCGATGAATTTATTTTATACCAAACATATAGGTCAAGTGTCCAACTTAATCTCAAATAAGAGCCCAACCTTACTAGATGGCCTGTGGATCTCACAAAAGATTCACATGAATTGCACGGTCTCGCCGGCCAGTGAACTTGGGGCAATATTTGAGTTAAGTTGGTCACTTCATGGACATATTTGAAACAATGTCCACTCTGAACCCTTTTTGAAGAAAATGGCCCCCCTTCGAACCCTTATTTGAAATTTTGTTTTATTTTCACTTCCTTGAAAATCACATAAGATATTTTTACTCTTTCAAAATTTCCGTCTTCCTCAAAGCATGCTTGGTTCATGAATATCATAAGGTCGTTTGGGAAATTTTTGAAAACTTTTGCCAGTTGTAAATTTGAAGAGTAAGTTAATGTAACTTGTGGCTTATTAGGAGCTGACAAAGAGTCAATGAAAAGAAAAAGAGTTCTTACTGCAATGTGTAGAAGTGACTTTAAATTTCTAGAGAGAAAGAGAATAAAGAGGGATAGCGAAGGTCTGTAAGAAATATAGAAATCCCTAGGGACCATCGAGCCCTTTACAAAACTTGTGACCATTGCAACATTAATTTTCAATATCTTATTGACCATCGCAACACTTTCTTTCAATATTTCCTGGGTACCATTCCCTATTCATTTCGATCAAGAGATATGTACGAAAAAATCAGTGTCGATTCTTTTGAGCGCTAGTCTTCAAAGTTGCTCCTTTGGTTTGCAAGGGCCATGCTAACTTCATTTCAAACATTTTTCGAAAAATTTTACCCTCGAAAGAAATGAAAATGAGATTAACATGAATAGATGCAGTTCACTGAATTGAGTTTGTTGGAGAGCCACTTCCAAGACCAAAATCAAGTCCAAGTGATACCTGCTTAATTTGCACTTAATGTTCAAGTGAACAAGCTCACCTATATGCCTTTACAAATACTGGGTAACAGTTTATCAATATAATTTTAGTTAGTTCCTTTTGCATTTTGAGCAAGGCTAGCACAGCCTCCACATAAAAAAATTAAGTATGTGAATTTCTATCAGCATGGCACAATGTATGATATATAAGCACGGAGGGAGAATATACCCGTAGTGACTCTTTTTCTTTGGCCACCTGAGACTCCCCTGAGCATATCATTCCCGACGAAGGTGTCCGCACAAACATCAAGACCAAGCACTTTCAAAACATATTCTGTCGAAACGCTATGTCTTTTACCACCAACGGATGATGCCTACGCAGTTGATATGCAATCCGAGATTATTGGGACAGAAGTCGAGAATTGTGCTAGCAAGCAACGTACTCACGGACATCAAAGTATATACCTTCATAAAGGCATCAATCTCTGGACTTGGACGTATACTCATTTCTTTCTCTAAACGGGCCAAATCTTTCATATATTCTGCAGTCACAATTCAAAAAGACTTGACGAAGGTAGTCATTGCAACCAAATGTGCTGATATATTTCTTAAGCGCCTCTTACAGAGTATAGTTAGGAGAGATTAAAGAACTCTGACTTGAGACTTCATGAAAAGATCCTACATCCACTCTCTACCAGTTTTCAACTAAATTTAACAGGATTCTGCCGATATCAATGGGCAGATTGCAGCAACACCCATTTCACCTAAAATTGTGAAGCCAAAAGAGAAGCCCTTTGATACGTACATCATCTAATGATGGTAGAACTCCAGTTAATGAAATTAGTTTCACAAATGTACTCGTGCCAAAAGAAATAAGTCGGTGGCTACCCAAAGGATGTGTTCAGTTCTCTAGTAGAGAAAAGATGACTAGAAAGAGCAAAAATCATGTGGATTCAAGTGCCATGTTGACCGTGGAAGGGAGATTTTAGGGGCACACTCCGTAATCGTTGGATGATCAGGAACCAATTTCAACATGGTGCCAAGTGCCAACTAACGCTAAACGAGTTGCACGTTGGACCAATCAGGACGTCACGGCATGTCCTATCAAGTGAGTACTCAAACTTGCAAAAGAGCAAATATTTTCAGAGTAGAACCTGCCTGAATCTATTTCGAGTCCAAAATGCATGATTTTTGTCACACTTAAACAGAAACAAAAGTATTTCGACCCCAAAAAATAAAAAATAAACAGAAACAAAAGTAAATTCCACGTCCATAATAAAAACTCACAATAAGATGACCGAAAGCTTTGAAGCGAAAGTACCTGCAAAACCTTCACTTGCACCTTGACATCTTGCAGCAAAATCAAAGGTTTCTCGAACAGTTAACTCGGCAATATGATTATCTGTTTGGCTTATATAGGCAGAAGTCCTTTGAACGCAGAAATCGCTGAGCTTCTTCCCATTATAGGTGATGTTACCACTTTTCTGGAACAAAAGTAGACATGCAATCAGGGGATCTATCAAGACACTATAGTTGTTAGGTCTTCTAATAACAGATTGCAAAGAAATCGTATCACTTTTAGCACCGTAGGAGGTTTTGTACCGAGGCTTGTGTAAAAAGACGGAGAAATAAGGTCTGTACCGAGACGCGTTCTTCCTGTAACTTCTCCTAAAATTCATTATCATTTATCATCGCAGTACGATTGCCCCACTCATTTGTTATTAGGGCTAACTTCTTGTGAGGTAGTCAAGTTTAACAATGGTTAAGGCCATGGAGGGGTACTTGGCTAAATTCATTATCATTTATCATCGCAGCATGCACCTTATTCTATAGAGTAGAAATATGATGATTTTATCGCAATTATGGGATTTTTTTTTGACAGAAACCTCAAGTAAGATTAAATGTTTATATTGTCACTGCTCATTAAGGAATAGAGTCTTTTACTTCTCTAAACAAAATATGAAACTGCCATTTTTTTTTATGTCTAGAAGTTCTAGTCTAATGCTAAAGCTTCTATAAATTAGAAAATGTTACATTTGGAATAACTTTTCAAGAAGGGTAGTAGGACAAACGAATTTTAAGGTACTATGGTGAATAAATGAAGTCATCCAGACTGGCTAAAGTAATGTCATCCAAACCATTGGACGCTTGGCCCAGAGGCAAGGTCTTATTTGGAGATGCAAGATCCGACCCTCTAATTTACCAGGAAATAAACAAGATGATAGAATTTCATGGGCTAAAAACGTTACCGTAAAACAGCTCTCTCGAAGTCAACTGTAAGTAAATTCCATTCCACCGTGTTGGTACATCTATGTTAAATGCATCTGAACGTAAGTATATGGCAAGGACATTTCACTAATGGTAGGTCATTCTTATGGGTGATTGATTGTATATGTAAGTAATGATTCCGTCAGCTCGAGCTATTACATTTTAGGAAAGAAAAAGGAGAAAAAACTACCGCTATTGATGATGAGAAAGTATGCTTTGAGAGTTCTCAATAACCAACGTGGGCTACCGCCCAGAAAGGGACGGGTAAGGAAGGTAACTTTATACGGAAATTAGTCACATGAGATGCCTCCCGGATGATTTTTGGCAAGTTCTTACTTCGAAAAATTCTAGCAAAAGAATAAAGTTCTTACCTTCAAATTGGCATCGAGTTTCCCTGCCAGAGCTAAAAGCAACGTGGATTTTCCAGAACTTGGGGGCCCTAGAAGCAACGTCATCCTGCAGACGACGCCCAATAGAGAAATAAATGAATGGATTTGCTCGCGGGTGAACACGACACGTGCTACCATGTAACGGGTTTGTCCAACCCAGCACACTGAGAATAAATGCTCGGACGTTTCTGTTTAAATGCATGTAGCCAAATTACGTGATGCATTACATAATTACCCACGTAACCTATTATTAGATGTATAACGAGAGCTGATGATGATCCAGTCGCGAATAGTACCTAGTTTGGCGAGTCTACTAGCTACGAGCTCGTTAAGTGGGGATTATTACATCTGCCAGAACATATGGATTCATATACCATCTGAAAAACCAGTAAGTGTCTTACTCTATTTTGTTCGGAGACGAGTTGTTAATAATTATGATTTCATTGTGTCCGTGTTTAAGCCTTTTCAAGTTTCGTGTCAATGCGTAAGAGTAATGTGAAGAATGCTAAACCGACGCTCGGATGTTCATATTAGTTGATATATTATACAAATTGAGTAATTCTAAGCGCTCTCAAATATATTTTTGCATGTAATAATCTTACATTCGAGATATTCATTGCCAATTTTATTTCGGTAAGTTGACTTAAAAGAAAAAAAAGTTATTTGCTTCATGACGAACTCATTCTAAAAAGATAGCACATTAAGCTTTAAGCAAAGAACACAGAAAACATGACAGCTCACAAATAATTTTGGGTGAACGAGATGGGAGCACTTTCTCACTCGAGCGGCGAAAACTCTTACCTAGCACATTGAGTTCCAAGCATGGTAATATCAAGTAGTAAGATGCTTTCGAGTGTATATCGAGTAGCACTATTTTCGTTACCTTCCGGGCTTGATAACTCCGCTGATGTTCTTCAAGATTGTAAGCGACTGCCTCCTCGGTCGAAATATCCTCAACCTAGTTAGAACATACTGCGATGCATCACCAACACGGAAGGTTGTTAATGCACGTAATGACATGCCTCTTGAGCGATGTACCCAAAAAAAGAAATGAAGAAGCAAGAAAAGCAAATTCATCGCATGATCGAATATGAGAAAGAAAACAGTGACGACCTCGATCATGTCACGAGTGTAATTCACCAACGTAGGCAAAGCTCTCGAGCCGGTTTGCACATTGGCTTCGATGTTCAGGTTCTCGAACCTTACTTCGACCTGCGGCACCTCCAAGCCGACCCTAACAGATAGATCAGAAGAGGAAAATCAGAGAAGATCATGGATTCAGGAATCCAAATACCGAGCGAGATCACTCGCACACGGATCTGTTAGCGTCGCGTGCACAGGTTCTCAACGTCCGCAAAAGAAGGTCACAGACTCCTCGTGCACCTTTATCGCCAAAAAAGGAGACGATCAATATGGCCAACGCGCTTCGACCGAAAAAAAACAGAAACAATCGCCAACAGGCAAAACGCCAGTCGATCCAGAGATCGAATGGGGCACGTCTAGCGAGAGAACAACGGACGTAATGAAAATGCGGGACGCTCCTTTACCGGTCGAGGCGCTCCTTCACGGCGGAGAGGAGGCGGTAGTTGTCCTGGTCGTTCGTGGCCAGTGCCTTCCGCACGACGAGCTCCCGGTTGAGGCGGTCCAGCTTCCGCACGTCGATCGTCTCCGCCCCCCGCCGCGCCGCCTCGCCGTCGCCGCCCTCCTGCTCCGACGGCGTCCGCCTGAGCAGGGCGATGTTGGGCCGCTTCTGCGACGGGAGGCGCTCGATCGCCGCCCACAGCAGCTCGCTCTCGTCCTCCTCCACCGACTCCGCGTTCGACGGCCGCGCGAGCGCCTCGCCGCCGCCCTCCACCTCGACCTCGAAGAACTCGCTCCCGTTCGACGCCGCCATGGCTGGATGGCCGGCCTCCCTCTCCCTCTCCCTCTCTCTCTCTCTCTCTGCGTGGTTCTGCCTTCTGCGTGTGGAATACGGAAGGTCGGAGGGGGTTGTGGGGGAGGGGGCAGATCTTCCGGGGATGTGATCACAACAGAATTGCCAGCTGCCCAGAGCGAGATGCTCGCCCCGGGAACTTTTGAAGGAGGAGGAGGAGGAGGTTGGGGCGGGAAAAGACGAAGATGCCCCTCCCCCTCCCCCCGCCTCGGCCGAAGTTCTGGAAGGTTTGTTGGTTACGCGGGGCCTCGCGCCAATTTTTTTGTCCCGTTCTTCCGAGCGTTCTATCTAAAACACGCGCAAAAGAAAAGGCGAAGCAATATGAAAAGGCGATATTAAATTTTTTTTTATCAATAGCTCAAAACTAATTGAAATGCACAATTTGTATAGATAATATCCGTAAAATTTTAGGATTTAATTACATTTCTTACGCGCTCGTTCTTGAATAAAATAACGCGAAGAAGACTGTCTGTTTGGCGGCTTGCATTTCTTGTTTACCTAACTGTTCATATTCGTAATTTTATTATGTATAAAATATTTCACACACGCACATATATATATATAATTGCTAGACCTATATTTTGTAGTGTTTAGGAGTTATAGTTAAATATTTTGGCCATTCTACCATGGAAGTGGAGGAATCACCATTTACTTTTCTTTGTTAAGAAAAAGGACTTATCAAATAATAATTAGCGTTAAGCAATAATTAATTATATCGAAATACAGTTGAGAAGTTTCTGGTAAGTGAACAATATGATTAACGCTAAACAATCAATAATTCTATATTTTCCTTGAGAATTATCAACTGTTATGTTGTTATTGCAAGTATATTATAAAATAAAAACTCATTAAAAAAAATTCTCATCTAATTCATTCCAATAACATTTTATATTACAACCAAAGAAAAGAATTCTTAATCCATTCTCTACTTTAATTTAAAAAAAAATTGTAAAAACCTTTTATCTATAAATCTATCTAGTAAATTGATATCCGTGATCTCGCCAGAATCAAGTGAAGATACAATTTTGAGAAATTAGCGCCCTTGGAAAAATCACACAAGAATGAAAGAGTAATTAGACAAACATATGAGAGGGGCCAAAATTTAAGTCAGGAGGGTTATCTAAGGACATCATACAAGCATGAAATTTGAACTAGAATGATCTTAATCCATCGATATTATTGCTCTTTGCTTCTATTTGGTAGTAGGGGTGATCGATGGATGGGTGGCTCGCTCGACCTGCCTAGTTCGGAGACGCCCGAAAGGCAAATGGGGGCTTGGACAATGCCCTTGCATCGAAAAGCCTCACTCGTCCCACTTTGATTTGGGCCTAGCTCAGATATTTATATGTAAACTTGATGTGTGATGGGAGGGCTTATGTAATATAAAAAACTCGACTTTTGGCCCCAACCCAATCTAGAAACCCCCTATTATCACCTTTATTTGATGCACGTGTATCATGTGTTGTGCACTACTCTCACTTACTAGGCAAATGAGAATGAATTTTTACTAGGTCCATTGTCAATGTAAACTTTTTTTGTCGTATTTGCCGTTGGATGGATGACACGTGAATGGATTGGATTGTGTAACAATCTATAAGCACATGTGAAAACCCATCCAATAACGAATATGTCGAAAAATTGTTTACACCGATACTAGACCTATAATAATCTAATCAGAAAAATGAAAGAAGTCGTAATCTTTTAGTATTTAGTGTTTTCAAGTTTTTTGAAGTCGTAGGGCAATGTTGCTTGTGAAGCTCTTTCGGCGAGCTCGCGATCCTAACAGGACTAAGTGAAGAAGCCCTTGCTAATTCCGGGGCCAATAGCCATGGTAGGGGGATAGTGTTCTTTGGAATGACGGGGCACAGCGGGCACGTTGGCGGTGAATCAGATTGACAATAAAATCGTGAGAAAATTGCGGAATTTCTCAAAACCAATTCGTTTTTTTTTTTTTGTCTATACCAATTCACTTTTTAAATTTTTGCATACAGTGCAAAGAAGTTTTCAACGTGCAATTTGAAATACTGGAAATCCTTTTAAAAGTAAAGTTTACAATACCGCTGGACGGAGACAACTTTAAAATATAAGATTCACTGGTTCATCAAGAAACCTAACCTCCTTGCCTTCGATTACATCCGAAAACATTATATAAACCCTATCATGACCATCCCACATTGGTTCTCTGGAATATGCTTTTACTTTCAAATTACAATAAGGTGAATTGCACATATTCAACTATCACGTCGTGTATCGCACAAACAAACTGATAAGTCAATGGAGTTTACGTTTCGATTCATCATAACTGTACACTTAACTTTAGGACGAATTACAAAATGCCATCCTTAAAATGTTGATCACCGAAATTAGGGTGTCCTCGTAATTAAGTGTAAAAAAAGGTCAGCAAAATAAATAATGTCGTGGTACAATAATCGTTACCATGAAAATCAATTTTGAGGGCACGTGATTTTCCGTGATCATACCTTATCCTTCCCGAAACGACCACGCTCCCATGTCCAAACGACGACACGTGGCCTCCCAGTCTCGAGACCAAGAGCTACTAGTCCCGCCGCGGCCTCCTCTGCTCAGGTCTCTTCCGCCGCCGTTCGAACAGGCCTCTGCGGCGGCGAGACGGGGCCCCTCAGCCTGCGGACGCCGTCACCCACCCATCGTCAAGCCAAAGATCCCAACTTTCCCTCACTGTAAATGCTTTCTCTTCGCGCCCCTCCGCCGTCGGAGCGCCTCGACACCGTCGCGCGAAGGCCCCCGATCGCCGCGCCCACCAGGGCGCGAGCAGGAGGTCTCTACTTCTCTTCCGTCTCTTCCGCTAGGCTCGGCAGGAGTTTCGCCGCCGCCGCCGCCTCCGCCACGGACGTCGCTCCCAGGGAAGGGGAGTGGGAGCTGGGCGGCGCGGGGCGCTCTCCGGAGGACCCGGGCGGCCTGCCGGCGGGGCTCCGGCGAAACGCCATGCCGAGGCACGTCGCGGTGATAATGGACGGAAACGCCAGGTGGGCCCGGCGGCGGGGGCTGCCGACGTTGGCGGGGCACGAGGCGGGGGTGAGGTCGCTAAAGGGGCTCATCGAGCTCTGTTGCCAGTGGGGGATCGGGGTCCTCACCATCTTCGCCTTCTCGTCTGATAATTGGGTTCGGCCAAAGGTCAGTGGCCTTGACTAGTAATAGGAATGACGATGAGCATGGAATGTGAAGTCAATGCGAAATGTCATGGATGGATTGGTGTTTCTCTGTTTGGCAAGTCTTTTGTTTTGAGCATTTCTTGTTGGTGTGAAGCTTATGTGACATTTGGGTGCAGGCTGAGGTTGAACTTCTGATGGGATTGTTCGAAAGAGTGATTAAAATAGAGCTGGAGAATTTTATGAGGTTAGAGGTCGAAACTCCCGCATCACTTCATGGCTATGATTTTCCTTGCTTATACTCTGCATATGCTTGGAGTCGTGTGATAATGTACTTGGTCTATTGTAGCTATTAATTGCTGTAACAAACTGAGAGGGAAAGTGATCGAAGTCTTTGATGATGCTGTTCCTGAAAATAACAAGCCACGAGAATCAGTCCGTTTGAACAATAGTACAAGCTAGAAATGTAGAGACATCGAGGAAATGAAGGCCTATTGTTGTTGTTGAAGGTTCCTAATAGATCAAAATGCACAGGACTTTGGAGTTGGTGGCATGGGCATAAACGAACTTGTGACGAGTTCACGTGATCCTCTTGGCGTTTGAAGCAGGATTGATGATGTGGGTTTCTTTCTGAACTAGTGTAACATAACTTGTGGGGAATGAATAGGAAAATGGAAATACCAGGTTTTTTAGGCTGCTTTTCGTTTCATCAGTTTGTGCTATAATTCCATTCATTCAGGGTCTTATGAAGGCGTTTCAGCTTGACAGGAGATATTCATTCCTTATTATGATTTCATCTCCTATGATACACTGGTGACTTCTGGTTGACTAGTCATTGTTGTTGACGATGTCTGATATGTTAAGATTTAGACATATCTATCATGATGTTGAGCTTCTCCCTTACTCGGATTGGAGTTAGATCAATGAAACTATTTTTCAGGTCTAACCTTTAAGATTCTGCAGAAGAAAGTTCTGGAAAGGTATATGACTTTGTTGAGAATTAAAAAACAGTCTATGGGTCCATGGTTCTTATCCAACAATTTGATGGAGCGGTTTTCAAAATTAATTCTGCTTGATACTTTTGGGCTACTGAAGTTTGATAGAGGCTTCTGCAATGTCATATAATTGCAGACATAATCAAAATGGCAATTGATGCATGAAAGGTAAATTAACACCCACAGACACACTCACATGTGGTGCATCTATAACCGTTGATACTAAAAGCTCATGTTTGAAATCAACTGAAAAAGAATATATGGATCTTATTACACTTTTCTGGAGCTTCCTCGGAAGGGACTCAAATTTGGGTATATGGTTGCTGTGCTAAGTAACTAAAGGTTGAGTTTCTTTCTCTAATTGCTAGCTAATTTTCACTGCTTATGTGCATAGATGCTTTGGATGGCAAGCATCCATAAATTTGATATTTTCATGCTGCCTGTATAATAATGTTGGCCTGGCACAGTGTGTCTCTTTTTTCTTAGCAGGAGGTTATACTAGTTTATTACTTCCTTTAGTTAGTACCAAGTTATGGAATTAGGACCAGAGCTTCAACTAAGTTCAGCTCCTTGTTATAGGGAAGGAGTTCAAATATGCATGATTGGAGATTCCTTGAAGCTTCCCAAGTCATTGCAAAAAGTATTTGCGGATGCAGAGGAGATGACTAAAAACAACTCCAGACTCCAACTTATTGTGGCAGTGAGCTACAGCGGGAAGCATGACATAGTGCAAGCGTGCAAAACCATTGCTCGCAAGGTAAAAGATGGTCATCTCGAGTTGGAGGAAATCAGCGAGAGACTAATAGAACGGGAGCTAGAGACGAGCTGCAGCGAATTTTCCTGCCCAGATTTACTGATTCGCACGAGCGGTGAACTTAGGCTCAGCAACTTCATGTTGTGGCAGTTAGCCTACGCTGAACTTTTCTTTGTGCAGGCACTCTGGCCTGATTTCGGGAAAGCAGAGTTTATAGAAGCCTTGCTTTCTTATCAGCAGAGGCAGAGACGATATGGAGCGCGGATTTCCTAATCATAAGAAGATTATCTTCATATTCATAGCCTTGATGGGGAGAGATTGATCCAATTGATCCACCCTTCTCAATCCGTGTCCTCTTGTTTAGGTGGTAAGTTTCATATATCAGGTGAAACTATCGCCCACCTTACAAAGTCCGAGCAATTGATGCATAGCTTATTTCATTGTAGACACGGATGCATGTCATATAACTTGGAACCCATCCAAGTTTCTTAAAGTGGATTTGCCTCGTTATATTTCACTATTAATAGGAATAGACCGACTCCGCAGACATCTGGAAATACAACCTCTTCATATGCTTGTAAGTTGTAGTCATCAACTGCACAGTTGTAAAAGGCTTGTAGCAATTTTTTGAGGAAGTATTGCTTCTGCTTGGTCAAGAATGTATGGACTCTTGGCTTATTGTGCTTTCACTTGTGGGCTCGCTTCATGTAATGCAGAGGATGGAATTCCAGAATCACTGCACATTTTCCGGAGCCATGCCATTCTTTCTTGCACCTCTGACCTCCCCATACAATGAACTCGCTCAGGTGATTATCATTGGACAATAGGAGGCAGATGAATACTCAATTTTCATTCAAAGGTGCGAAAAAATCAAAAAAATAGAAAAGGGACAGTGTTTCGAAGCAGAGTACCCGTAATTGTGACAGTAAGCAAGCATGTTTTCAGCCACATCTCCAGCAAAAATGGCTGACATTGGATTCAAAATGGGTCCGGGACCAGCCAAACCATACAAACCCAGTTTGCTGATCTTTGGCATTTTGTTAACTACGTAAACAAAAGAGGTTTCTTTGCATGTGAAAAGCCACTTTAATCCACCATTTTCACTAAATCCAATGTTCAAAGTGGCAAGCTGGGGCATGCGTCTTCCTGTGTGCTTTTTTAGTCTTATCTTAACGTCGGCCACCACATCGAAAGGAAATCTTTGGCGTCTAATCTAGAGACACAAGCGGATGTATTTTTATTGTTGGGAATTGTTTAAGTAGATAAATTGCTCTGCTCAATCTTTATTATCTAAGAGGGGACCAGTGTGATGTATGCATCCGAATTATCTAAGTAGATTGAGGGCAAGACCACGAGCCGACCGGAACCGACTAAAAATAGTGCATAGGAGAGGAAAATCCTTTGCTTAGATTTGCATCCGTGGATTGAATATGGAAGGCACATAATCAACTATTGTGATTGATTCGGAAACTCGGGTCTAGATACGTGTCTTTCTAGAAGAGGGCTAGAAGACTTTTGCCAAAAAAGAGAAAATTACTGCTTGTCCCCAGGTTTTTAGGATCTTTGCAATTAGCCCCCCAATATCTCAATTGTGGCATAAAGCCCCCCGATGTTTTTCAACCTGATTTCAATGAGCTCCCGGTGATGACTCCGGCCACATCATCCATTGAGAATCGATCACGTGGTGTCACGTGACGGATCGCCGGGAAGAACTTGAGGGCGAAATCGTCCTTCCACAGTGAGAATTACATTTCGCCCTCTAGATTGGTTACATAGTTACCAATTAGCTATTAATATTACGAAATTGTTCCAAGTTTCCACCCTAGATTGGTTACATAGTTACCGATTAGCTATTGATATTTCGAAATTGTTCCAATCTTCCATTCTAATCTTAGGAAATTCGTTGCGATCTTCTCCTTATAGCAATTTAAAAATCAAAGAGATTAATTATGACCGAAAAACCAAAAGGAAACTGAAAAAGACCTTGACCCTTTCACAGGTCTCAAATTGATTTCCACCAAAGATTGACTCCGGCATTTTCCCTTTCTTGGGTAGTGCCACCCTTAAGAGGATTGACCTCTCCCTCACTCAATAGTATTGACTAACATGATATACAATAATTTTCATAGCCAAAGTGCCACCCTTTTATACGTCGAACTTTTCTTTGTTCAGGCACTCTGGCCTAATATCGGGAAAAACGAGTTTGTAGTAGCCTTGCTATCTTATCAGCAGAGGTAGAGACGATTTGGTGCGAGGGGTTCTTAATCATAAGGAGATTGTCTTTATATTCACAGCCTTGATGGGGTGAGATTGATCCAATTGATCTCGCTCTTTGGATCCGCGTCATCACGTTTATGCAGTTAGTTTCATATGTCACCCACCTTACAAGTTACAATGCCCGAGCAACTGATGTATAGCTTATTTGATTGTTGACGCGGATGCATGTCGTCGTGAGGCTGTATAACTCATTCAAGTTCCTTACAGTGGGTTCGCCTAGTTATATTCCTCGATTATTATGAACAGACCAACTCCGCGAACATCTGGGAATTCATTCTCTTCATGTGCTGGTAAGTTGCATCTTGCATGCATCGAATACAACGGTTGTAACAGGCTCGTGCATGTTAATGGCCTGCATACTCTGCAATTTCTCGAGGAAGTTTTGCTGTCTATTCCTCAAGAATGTATGAACTCCTGGCTTGTTGTGCTTCACTTGTTGGCCTTCTTCATGTAATGCAGAGGACAGAATCCTAGAATCACTGCACCGCATCTGTGGCGAGCCATTCGTTTTTTGCACCTTTGACCTCCCCATAAGATGAACTCAGTCAGGTGATTATCATTGGACAATAGGAGGCAGGTGATAATCAACTTTCATCCATAAATGCAAAAATAAAAATAAGAAGAAGAAGAAGCATGTAGGGAATCGTTGACTTTATTTCTGCTTGATGAGTGCGAATGAAGAAAGAAATGGTCAATGCTACCGAGCATAGTGCCTGCTCCAGAGAAGTCCAATTGCCACAGTTAATAATGTCTCATTCCTTATCCTTAAGCTTTACTATTATAGTAGAACCAAACAAGATTCCATTTTTTTTTTCTAATTCTAAGTTAGGTTAACGTATAATTCACGCTACGTCGAGCGTGATTTTAATCGCCATAATCATACAATTTAAATCTTTCGGCATTCTCAATGCACTATTTAACATTAATAGCACACGAGTGGCTCTCAACCAATCTCAAGTACAAATCAAAGCTTCTACCACTTCAGGAGTAAAAGAACTTTGAAAGCCATTGAGCACGTGACTTGATGTACTAAAAGCCGATTCTGAAGCAACGGTAATTACAAGAATAGACAAAGCTTTGTAGAGAGGCAACACTCAACATGATTTCTATTTTCAACGCCAGAAAAAAGAGAAGGGAGGGGCTTAGGGTTCTTTGAAAAATAAATAAATTTATATTCATATATTTACATATAGAGGGTTGGTCCGGGTTGGACGAACCCTAAAGCCCCTGGATCGGGGACTAACCTGCATAGTACAGGTTCCAATGATCCCGGAACTAGGGACTGACATGGTCCACCTAGAAACTGGATCAAGATTGGTCCGGTTGGGCCGGTCCAGGGTTGGTCTAGGGTTGATCCTAGACGGTTGCTCACCCCTAGAGGCAGGTGTGATAATCAACTTTCATTCATAATGCAAAAATAAAAATAAAAAGAAGCAGAAGCTGCAAATGTAGGGAATCGTTGACTTTATCTCTGTTTGATGAGTGCGAACGAAGAAAGGGTCAATGCTACCGAGCAGAGTACCTGCTCCAGAGAAAGTCCAATTGCCTGACTTAACGTCTTATTCCTTATCCAGATGCTTTACTATTACAATGAAACCAGACAAGATGCCATTATTTTTGTCTAATTCTGAGTTAGGTTAACGTATAACTCACGCTGCGTCGAGCTTGATTTTAATCATCGTAATCATGACATTAAGTTAGCATGTTTTCAGCCCCATCCCCAGCAAAAAATGGTTGACATTTGAAACAAAATGGGCCCAGGACCGGCCAAACCATGCAAAACCAGTTGCTGATCTTTGGTATTAACTATGTAAACAAAAAGGTGGTATTGCATGTGAAGCCAGTCTAATCCACCAACTCCATTTATCGCAATCTTTAAGTTGGCGAGCTGGGACATGCATCTTCCTGTTTGCTTCATTGAGCCTTACTGTTGTGTTAACTATATATATAAAATCTTTGGCGTCTAATCTGGTACGCGAGTTGAGGTCTTTTTTTATTGTTGAGAGTCAGTAATGAATGTCCAATTCATCAGAATTAAAAAGAAAGAGAGCAGATTCTAGCCACGACTCAATTCCACACAATGTTTGGGTCAATAAGTCAATGAATTTTCTATGTAAATCAATTGCTCTACTCAATCTTGGTTATCGAAGACGGGACTGGTGTCTTTTGCACATTTGAATTGTCTAAGTAGATTAAGGGTGAGATCACAAAGTCATTGGGAACTGCCAAACTATAGCATATAAAAAGAGGGAAATTCTTGCTTAGATTTGTATAATCAATTGTTGTGATTGATTCGATCAATGCAAACTAAGTTTCAGATAATTTTTTTTCTCGAAGAGGGCGGGAAGACTTCTACCAAAAGGAAAAGGAGAATTACTATTTGCCCCTAGGTTTATAGGATTGTTGCAACTTGCCTCCCAATATCGCAATTTTGGCATAAAGCTCCCTAATGTTTTCCACTCAATCTCAATGTGCTCTCTGTGTTGACTCCGGCCACATTGTCCCTTGAAAATCGATCACGTGATGTCACGTGACTCATCACCGGCAAGAACTTGAGGGCAAAATCGTCCTTCCGTGGTGAGAATTACATTTTGCCCTCTAGATTGGTTGCATGGTTACCAATTATCTCTTGACGTTTCAAAATTTTGTCAATATGCCCTCTAATCTTTTGAAAGTCATTATAATCATCTCCTTCTAGTAATTTCAAAAATAAAAGAAATTAATTATAACTAAGAACTTGCAAGAAAACTTATAAAAAGGAATTGAACTCAATGATCCAAACTTATATGCCAGGGTTCCTTATCCTGACAAGGTACAAGTATTTAAATTGGGGAAGGGGGAGGCTTCGGCTCCGTTTGGATGGCTTTTGGGGAAAGTCTTTGGGAGAAATGCCAAGGACCTTAGGTCCAAAGATTTTTAAAAAATGCAAATAATATTTAGTAAAGTGTAATTAAGAATGTATTGGGAAGCAACTTTTGGTTTAAACGTTGTTTGGGAAAAACTAAATTTGTAAAAGACTTTAGCTGTATTTTTCAAACAAAAATAAAAATTGAAGCTCAGCAACTGACAGTGTGATGGTGCCATCTCTCCGGCGATTAGAACTGACCTCGTTGCTGTTGCGCGCTGGAAAAGATAAATTCGGAATTTCAAAAGTTCAATAAGGGGCAAAGTTAGAAGGGAAAAAAAAATAGCATCAACATTCCGGAAAATGCTCAAAGATCAAAATTGGGCAGGACTTGCGTCGAGCAAAGAGCCTTTGAAGGGCTTCGGAAATGCAGCGCATCTTCCGAAAATACTCTGCGAAATACTTGCCAATCACCTTGCCACTTGCCAAAATCTCTTTTCGTAAAGTGATTCCCTATCGCAGCCGAAGTGACCCTGAACTTTTTGATTCAGATCTCAAACTGATTTTCACCCTGAGATGGAGCTGGGCAATTTTCTTTTCTTGGGTTGTGCCACCCTCAAGAGGATTGGCCCCTCCCTCACTGAACATGACTCTCTCTCTCTCTCTCTCACTTTAGAGCAACGATGTACCAAACAAAGAGCATCTGAATCATTGATGGTCGATATCGCCACCGCCGTCAATTGCCATGTACCGTCAGTCACTATCGGCCATCGCCACCCACTCCATCTCCCCTCTCTCTCTCTCTCTCTCTCTCTCTCGTGGAACCCTTGGACGATGCTTTCAAATTGATTTACAAGTAACCTCCCTGTCATTTCGTTTAATCAACTCCAGTAAAAAATATAATATCCATGGACTCCCCAATCTCTCGTCTATTCCTTAGATGAATGCTTTTAAATTGATTTACGAATAATTTTAATGTCATTTTCTAAGTGCAACAGAAATATATATATATATATATATATAGATGACTCGGTCCCAGTCACCGTTCCTGTGGGAATCGGTCCGGTTCTCGATTCCTGATTTATGGGGAGGAAAATGGCCAATTGGATCAAACCGGCAGTACTGGCTTAGAGCAAAAAAAATTTCTTATTCAGCAATGGCAAAAAGTGTAGATCATTTGTAGAAGTAATCTCTTCTTTTACTAGTATCTTTCCCGGGATTAGAAATTCCATCATACACTAGAGTATCCTACAATATATTTAGGAAATTTTTGAGAAAGAAAATATATTTTTTTTAATAAGAGAAAGATAATACCGTCGGTTCCCGGGACAACTCGAGACCGATTCTAGCGTGAACATGGTCGGTCACCAATCTGTGAACCGGGATCCGACCCAAAGAAAAAAAAATAACCGAGAACTGACCCTAGCCGATTCTATTTCTAATTCTAGGACCCATCCCGAAGCCGATCACTTCTAAAGGGGTCCACGTCACGGGCGCATCCGAAATATCAAAGGGCTAATAATTAAGATATCGAGGGGGATGTCGCAACCAACCCATAAATGTATCGCAGGCCACAACCGCCGATACTTTTGTTCTTTGTCTCGCGCGGGAGGATGTTCTCGAAGGACGCGGGCTGACAGCGACGCGTTCCTGCAGACGATGGCTCAAGGCACGCAACCCAAGTAAGTAAAATCTTTTAAATGAGGGGTCGTGATTCGTGCGACCCGAGATCGATTCATCCTCCGCACGAATCGTGATCGTCGGAGTCGAGGAGGATCAGAACAAAACACCGCCGATCTGTAAATTCTCTTTGCAAGTTGGTGGTGCGGTGGGGACACCGTGCTCCCCTCCTCAATGGATATAAGCCTCATCCAAATCCGGGCTGGGCACACCTTGAAACCTTATTATATAGAGCTGATTAATTAAAGGCGGCATCGACTAAGGTTTCGAGCATAAGACGTCGCTAATCAAGAAATGTTCTCCTTTTTATTTTTTATTTTTTTGGGGTGGGGTGATCCAGCCACCAATAAAGAAAGTTAATTCTTCGAGACTCGTCATAATCTTGTGCGGCCCGAGTGAGTTCCCGTGATTTCCGAAAGGCAGAATTGCGATATAATTAGGCCCCCGGCCGAAGCGAAAAGTGAAAGAGGAAATCGATTTCCGAGATTAAATTTACAAAATCACATGATTGACTATCATTGTTTTCTTCTTTTTTTTTTTGGGACAAGTGCACTAGAAATTTTAAAACTTGTCATGAAGATGCAATCGAGTGTTGAAACTTTCACAAAGTGGCAATCGACTCAAAAAAAAAACTTATTATAAAAATACAATCGAGTCCTAAAACTTTCAATAAAGTACAATCAATGGAATGACCTGATTGGATCAGTTCGATAAGTTTTATGACTTGTTTGCACTTTTTGAAAGTTCGAGGGCCCAATTAACTTTTGCAACAAGTTTTAAGACTTTCAACGTACTTTTTCGAAAGTTTTAGTTATCAATCGCACTTTCGTAACAAGTTTCAGGACTTCTAATGCGCTTATATTATATTATATTTTTTTTATATTAATTTCTCGTTCATTTCAAAAATTGTAAACTGAAGTTTATTTTTCCTTATTTTTTTGCTAGGGTAAGCCAAGTGATTGTCGCGGCCGCGGATCAGAACGAGGGAAAGAAAATAGAATATGACCGACCTTTCCTTGTTTTTCTTTTGTTTGGGTCGAAAGAATCGGACGACTTGACGAGGCCGCCGGTATACCAAAAAAACCGGATGCTGCGCCAGCTGGTTTTTCAGCTCCCCCCCCCCCACACGCTCCGCCTACCAAGCCGTCGCGTCAGATCCAACGGGCCACAACCTCGACACGCCAGCACCCCCCGCGGTCCGCGTGGCGGGATCTCATTCGAGGGCGGAGGAACCCCAGGGCCCACGGGCGAGGAGGTGGCAGCAGGGGATCTCGGCCCGACGGGGTCTCGAAGAGGAGAGGGGGGGAAATTTTTCTTTAATCTCGGGAGCTCGTCGATGACGTGTCACCGCGCTAATTAACCAAAACAAAGATAATCCAAACTTAAATATTTCATTAAAACTAGATAGAAACTTTCGTCTCAATGGATTTATCGAAATGATTAAAGCACTACCGGATAAGATGATTGGAATTTAATCCGGGACGAGCTGCTTATCCCTACGAGGGCAGAACCGTAATTTCCGCCCGGGATGGGGGGTCGGGGGAGGAAAAGTCTGGACGCTCCCCGGGGTCGCGACGACTTTATAACGAAGGGAAGTCAGGAGGAGTTTGGGAGCGGAAGCCGGAGTCAGCGAGGGAGTGAGTGTGTGTGTGTGTGGCGGTTTTTCGGTGTGCCGGGAAACGCGACCTCGTGTATCGTCGTCGTCGAGAAAAGAGCGACCCCCCCACCCAATCTCTTCTCTTTCTCTCTTGTTTTTCCGGGAAAGTGCGGGGAAAAGGAAAGGGAAAAGGCGGACGGGAAAAGAGGGAAGGACAAAAAGAGCTCGGTCGTCATCGGTGGCGCGTCGGATGAAAAGCATCGCCTCCCGAGAAGAAGAAGGAGGAGGAGGAGGAGGAGAGAGCGGGGAGCCATGAGCAGTAATAAGTCGCCGTTCAGGGATTCTCTCAAGGCCCTCGAAGCTGATATCCAGCACGCCAACACCCTGTAATTCTCTCTCCGTCTCCGTCTCTGTCTCCGTCTCTGTTTTCTAGCTTCATTTCGTTCGGATTGCCGTGAATGGAATGGAATGCGTGAAAATCAGTCGGTGGTCGTCGGAGTCCAGCTGTTTTGTCTTGTCCCCTCTGTGTTTGGTTCTTTTGGGTCCGTCGCTGTGTGTTTCTTGAATTTGGCTTATAGCTCTGTCAGGTGGTGAACTCAACGAGGCGCGGGGGGTGGGGTGGGTGGGGGGTCTCGCCAAAATGGTTAGTGTGCATTCTCGGGCGGTGGTCTCGTCCACCCTTGTTTGAATTGAGTTAAATTTTGCAATCATTTCCTCGTACGTGTTGAACAAAACTACTTTTGGAGCTTCTGTGGTTCTGTGTTCCGGCCATGTCCAATCACGTCGTCTTTCATTTACCTACTGCCGCTGCTGGGACGTTAGGAGCTGAAATCGGCTAGTAGGGTGGGCATGCTGCTGTGTCGTGGGCTCTTGCGTAACCTTTCCTTGTTGAAATTTCTGAAGAATCCTGAAACGATTTGCCTTTGGAATTTTATCTCCCATCAAGCTGTTGCGAGTCGAGGATTACTAGGTTGGTGAGGAGCTTCTCTTTTTACAATGGGATTGATGTTAGCATTTGGATACGGGTTACCATCAGATAGTATAAACATTTCTGCATTTTGGTTTGTTACTGCTGATTGGACTGCCCTTATTATACTTGTGAGCCTGTCTTCGCTTTGTTTGGTACTTAACCTTCGAGTACATCCATATCGAGGACCAGGGTCTCCTTGCGTTTTTGTTGCATTGCTCGTTTTCTCATCGGTTACTGTTTCTAAAGATAAGCTTTTAATGATGGGTTGGCAGAGTTTTACATGTATGTTTTCTCGGTGCGTTTGTTTGATGATTTCACTACCTACCTGTGTGTTGACTCTTTTCCATTTTCTCAGGGCCTTGGACTATCCGAGAGAAAATGGAGCGTACCTTCAGATGAGATTATCTTACAGTCCGGTTGCCCACTTATTTCTTTTTCTTGTCCAATGGACTGACTGTCACCTGGCTGGTGCGCTTGGGCTGCTTAGAATTCTTATATACATGGTACATGTCTTTCCATCTTCAGTTGGGTCAGTCCTTTCTTGTTCTTGTATAGAATTGTGTCTGCACCGGTTTGCATTATCTTCTTGGATGGATTAAGTTACTAGTGTTTCATGTACAGAATGACTTATTCTGAGTCTGTGGATTGATGCAGAACTGTGCAGATGGCAAGACCACTATGTCTGTCTATGAGAGGAAAGCAAGCATCAGAGACTTTTATGGTGCCCACATATACTTAGAATTGGGTTATTCTTTGTGCTGCTTATACACTAATAATTTATCTCCCTTTCCTGATAATAACATCCATGCGTTGTCTATTTTTGCTTTTGACAAGCAGCAGTTATATTCCCTTCTCTGTTGCAACTTCAAAGAGGCATCACAGATTTGGAAGAGAGGAAGCAGAGACTAGTCTGTTCTGACCGGTATCGGAAAAAGGAAGAGCTGCTTTGGGGGAAGTTCTGTGAACTTGACTTAGAAAGAGAAGATGAGTGCGGGATTTGCTTGGAGACGACCAGCAGGGTTATCTTGCCTAACTGCTGTCATTCTTTGTGTTTAAGGTGCTATCAGAATTGGTAATGTTCTGCATCCTGGATCATTTACGCCCAACTCATTCTTGAGCTAGAGGCACTACTTGATTCGCACACTATTCTTGCACGGCATTGTTGCTGTCTGAAAGTACATGACCCATGTTAAAACGGTTTCTTATGGTTCGGTGGATGGTTTTAGTTGTCTGGTTCCGTTTACATCTTCGCCAATTACTTCATACCTTCACTCTTCTGCATTTGTCTAGAAACTGACGACGTGTTTGTGGGTGTTTGATCAGGCGCGCACGGTCTCAGTCATGTCCATTCTGTAGGGATAGTCTCAAAAGAATCAAATCTGAAGACCTCTGGATTTACACAGAAAAGCGTGATATCGTTGATTTGCCCACCATTCTGAAGGAGAATGCTAAGAGGCTGTTCATGTACATTGATAACTTGCCTCTGGTCGTTCCGGACACTGTTTTTCTTCCCCACGATACTCACTGTAGGTGAGTCAATTGTTCTACTGTATAGGCTTTTGATGTACAGAGCTAGCCGATATTTAAAATAATCTTTTGAAGTGCTGAAGTCAATCTATTGTCACTTCAATGGGTGTTAACTCTTGGAATCCCTGGAGTTTTCTGAAGCATTGCATCTTGTTCTGCCTAATCAGGTTACTTTGTTTACTTTTTCGGCTTCTTTTCCATTGAATCTAACATGTGGATACTGGAAAAACATGCTATTCTACTGAAGTTGAATGTGTATTGAGTTCATTACAGGAAATGTTCGTTTTATCATAATTGTCTAATGGTGGACACCTGACAGATGCGCCTCTTAGCACGAATCTAATTGTTTAGAAAGAAAAATTGGTATGATGTCAGCCTCTTAAGATGACGCTTGATTGTTCACGGGATAGAAAGAGATCATTCCTTGGCAAATGGTATCTTGGAAAGAACGTGATAAAGGGTCCAAGAATTTAAGAATCCTGGACGCCGAACGTGTCTTTTTCCTCCTCTTTGATTATAACACAAAACAATTTGGCATAAAATAACATGCGACCAATTGAATGAGATTGGAAATGCCCAAGTGGACATATCAAAACAGCCTAGCTGCACGAAGAATTACAAATCATTTGCCGCAAGTGGGTCTTTTGATGCGGTAATCCGCTAGGACTGATCTTGAAGACGCATGTAATCGGCGTTGAAGCGAGGGCAGCTTTCCTCGGCGGCGTGACCGGTGTAAGCGTAGCCGCCATGGCTGGAGATGTCGAGACCCGCCATTTCTTCATCTACTGAGATCCTCAGGATCTCGAGCTTGTGAAGGGCATAGAAGAGAGGCCCCATGGTCGCACTCACCCAGCCCACAATCACCAGAACCTCGACCACCTGGGCTCCAAGCAAGGCCCATCCCCCTCCCATGAAAAGCCCGTACGGCCGCGACACCCCGGTCTCTCCGGAGTCGTAGGCTTGGATCACGAATTCCTCCTTCGCGAACAGGCCCGTGAATATCAACCCCCACGCGCCGCAACCCCCGTGCAGCTGGGTCGCCTCCAGCGGGTCGTCGAATTTCAACTTCAGCGCCGCGATGTTGAGCCCAATCAGAACCCAAGCAGAGACGAAGCCGCAGATGATGGCAGCCCAAGGTTCGACCACGGAGCAACCGGACGTGATCGCGACGAACCCGCCGAGCAGGCCATTGCACACGTCCAGCGCATCCCAGTGGCCCACCAGCAGGCGCCGACCAAATAGGGTCACTAGCCCCGCAGTGGACCCTGCCAGCGTGGTCGTGACCGCTGTACGGCCGATCGCTGTCCAATTACCTTGGTCGGACGTGTCGGGGTACGACACGAGGACCTTATCGAAAGAGCCCGGGTTGAACCCAAACCAGCCGAACCACAACAGGAACGTCCCGAGCACCACAAGGGTCGCATTGTGTCCTCGCATTGGCACGGTCTTGCCGAACGCATCGAACCTACCGGCCCGCGGGCCTTCAATCAATGAGCCCCAGAGACCAGCAATCCCTCCGACCAAATGCACCACGCCACTCCCAGCAAAATCAATAGCCCCCGACCCGAAAAGCAAGTCGCTCGAACTCGCGCTGAGCCACCCGCTCGACGACCAGACCCAATGGGCCACAATCGGGTACACGAACCCGGTGAGGAAGAAGGAGAATACGAGGTACGCGCTGAATTGGGTCCGCTCGGCTATGGAGCCGCTAGTGATCCCGGCAACCGCAATGGCAAAAGCCCATTGGTACAGGAAGAAGCTGTAGTCGTAAGTGCTATCGGGAATGTCCATGAGGGCGAAGTTGTAGGTGCCGATGAAGGGGTTGGAATTGGACCCTTCCCCGAACGCGAAGGCGAAGCCGAAGAGGTAGTAGGAGATGCTGCCGACCACGGCGTCCACCACGTTGGTGAGCATGATGTTCATGGCGTTCTTGGCGCGGACCGAGCCGGCGCACAGCATGGCGAAGCCGAGCTGCATCACGAAGACCAGGTAGGCCGAGAAGAGGAGGTAGATGGTGTTGATCGAGTCGGCGACGCTCGCTTCCCACGAGACCTCCATGGTTGTCGTAAGGCGAGAGCGCGCGAGAGCGAGCGAGAGCGAGAGGGAGAGAGGAAGGAGAAGGGGAGAGAGGGATGATTGGTGGTCAAGAGAGTCGAAAGATAGAGTCCCAATCCTTTGGTATTTCCTCGGAAGAGATCTACTGGTACGTTGAATGTTAGTTGTGTCTCTGCCACAAAGCGCACGTGTGGAGAGGTGGTGGTGTTGTTGACTGCTAGTGCACTCCTCTTCAATGACTTGAAAAGCGTTAAGGATAGGGGCCGCCAATGAACTCGGTCGCTCGAACTCAGTCCCGTGCGAGCCGCAACAGAACTGAGTAATGGTCCGAGTGGAGCCGAGCTTGACACCGCCACATCGTTTGGGTTGTCGTGTCTGGTTTCTTTATTGACCTTAATTAATTACCGTGCGGGATACGATCCCGATCCCCCGTGCAATAGTCAAATGGTGGAGGGTCAACAACTTCTTGGAGCTTGATAGTAATGCTTTCAGTATTTCACTAATTGTTCGCAATTGATGATTATAGGTGTTATTTGGGATTTTTCTTTCTGGATCGTTTGTAATCGGCAAAATCCATCAATTTGTTTTTTGATCTATCTAAATATTTCTTAAGGCCAAATGAGGTACGATTGCACCGAATCAATCTTAGGTATGTTTGTGGGGAAAATTGTCTAAAAAGTCAAAAATCTATTGCACTTTTGCCAATGCAATCCTAAACCTTTTAATTTTGTTAATTGAGTCCTAAATCTTGTCACTTCTTATCAATTGAGTCCATCCGGCCAATTTTGACAAAAAAATATTGATGTGGACGCCGGCCGACTTATGTAGCGCTAACGTGGACAATTTTTATATTATTTTTTGAATTTTGAATTTTTTCTTTTCTATTCTTTTTCCTTTTTCTTTTTTTTTTCTTTCCTTCTTCTTCCTCCAGCCGGTCGTCGGGCTTCGGTAACCAGCCAGAGGCGAAGGCCTGCTAGGTCGACCTCGCCGGCCTCGGGCAAGCCTCGCCCTCACCGGCCATTGGCGAGGGTGAGCCTCACCATGGATGGGTGAGGTCGGCTTCGCCAGATCTGGTGAATCATAATTATTAAAAGACGAGCAATAGTCTTAAACGAAAGCAGCATTCATTGGTGAACGCTTTCCTTCAACTGATATGGAATTTGAAAGAAATAGAGCATTAATGAAACGCAAAAAAAATGTTTTCAAAATAATCGATAATGTTAGTTTTTTTTTTTTGAGTCAGAAAAAGCTATTCTACCCATAACTATCCACACATCGTTTCTGTATAAAAAATAAATTTTCATTCTTCAAAAAATAGAAAAATAGTTTATTTACATCTAACTAAATGGCACACAAGTGACTACTGTAGAACTAAACTCTATCAATAATATACGAGACAAGAATTATAGGATTCGGAATAGGAACTTGTAAATATCATCATTTTTCTTAAAATATGCCAAATAAATTCGGCGTTTCTACGATATAGTCATAAGATTATGTTACCGTGATTTTATATCAATTGGACTGAAGACAAGAAAAGCTTACATATCACCGTAGGTACATTTAAATGATAAGATTTGACAGAAATATCATATTTGATAATGGAAATTTGTCATTAATTTGTGCTATCCAATTAAAAAACACAAGAATAATGTATTAATTCATTTGAACATGAAATGAACGTAATCATATTTTGGACATATACTTAATTGTTGACATGTTACCTCATTAATTGACTAAAGAAAAGATATGGAATAAGTTCAAATCCGTGCATAATAAGACACTTGTTTTATACATGTATAATTCGATTAGCTTCAAAAGGATATATACTTTTTTTCCTAAGTTGAGCAAACGTGCGGGAGACGGAAGTTTTATCGGGACTCACGTAAAGTCCAAATCTAACTAATGGAAGTACTAAATAATTCACCCAAGTCGGTATAGAAGCTAGGCTTTTCAACTTTTTTCAATAAGTTGCAATTTTGATATACGACGACTAGAGTCTCTGTTTACCTACATCTCCTATGCCTGACAATCTGACATGCGAGAGATCGGGTGTTGTCGTCTTCAAGCTTCATGAAGTTTGACATTAATTACATCGAAAATACAAGCACGTGTTTACCCTTTTTTTTTTTTAGCTTAGTGCAATCTCAGAGGATCTCCTAGCTGGATTAGCGTCATAAACAACCCGTTGAACCACGTGGCATGTTTTCGCATTAATTTTACTGTTTTTGATGGTCACTTTAGCAAATTTATTATGCTTTTACATATACAATTTATGATTATGACGATTATATTTTAATTATTATGTATATATGTATAGATTCTGTTTTGCAATATCTATAGATAACAAGAAAAGAAAAGTTGTATTCCATGAAGGAAAATATACCATGATCAAACTTTTTTTTAGTAATAAATGTTTTAAAATAATTATATAGACAAGCGGGTTCTATTTTGAAATATCTATTTTAAAAGTAAGGCTGAATTCTTCTGAAAATAAGACTTTCCTACATCCAAGTTATGAAAAGAAAAAAAGACAAATCAGAGAGAAGAATTAAATGTTAACGAGCCTTTCCTGGGGCATCTAAGTCATAAAAAAAAGTGAATACCATAAGACTTTCCTACATCTAGATTATAAAAAAGAAAGAGAAAAATTAGAGAGAGAAATTAAATGTTAATAAGTCTTTCCTGCATCTAAGTTACAAAAAAAGGTTAATAACATAAAAAAATCCGAAATGGTTACACCGGCACAACATTTACCCCCAAACTAATTTTCTTATCATAAAAAGTGTAAAATTATATACCTATCACATGCAAGTCTAGTGTCTACCACTATATGTATGCGAGGGAATAATTGTCCAAAAAGTCCTAAACATATATTACGGTGGCCAATTCAGTGTTAAACCTTTCAATTGTGCCAATTTAGTCCTAAATCTTTCAATTGTACCAATATTGTCCTAAAAATTTCGGCAATTTGTTAAAATAGTCCATCCGGTCAAATATCCAAATAACAGGTTTAAGACCAAATTGGTAAATTTTCAAAATGTTTAGGACTAAATTGACACAAAGAAAGATTTAGAACTTAATTGATAAATCGTCAAAAGGTTTAAG